ACACATAATTGAAATAACAAACGAGAAATCATAATACATCGCACAGAAATAAGATTAAAATTTGGTCATAAACAGAAAAGTAATCGATTCAATATAACGAAAATACGAAATAATATTTAGAACATGTCGACTAAACAGAAAGAATTGATCAATAATGCATTACAATGAAAATAAATGAGTTTTCAGTTTCTTCTTGAAATCACGCAGGTTTAGGTCCGGATTTCTGAGAGCAGCAGGCAGGTTGTTCCAAACAGTTGGTCCAGAAACAGCAATGTTACGAGAGCCTATACGGAGACTCGTTGGGATCAACAGCAGGTTTGAAACATCGGATCTCAAGTGTGTTCCAGATGCTTTTGAAGATCTCTTTTTGAACCTGTCAGACAAATAAGATGGAGCTAGACCGTAGATAGACTTGTAGACAAGTGTTGAAATTTTGAACAACACTCTTTTGTCGACGGTTCCTTCAATATTGGAGACACATGATCGTATTTTAGAGCTCCAACAACAACTTTTTCGGCTCGATTCTGTATTGATTGAAGTACAGCCATGGATCGATCAGGTAAGTCATAAAACAAACTGTTGCAATAGTCGACGCGTGAGTGCACAAATGCATGAACCAACGTCTGCAACGTGGATGTATCTAAGGGTCGTCGAATTTGATTGATTTTCCTGATTTGAAACATGCATTTGGCTGAGAGCTTTTTAATGTGTTGTTTCATTGACAAACCTGAATCAATCATGAAGCCCAGATTAGCTGCTGTCTGACAAAATCGGATGACCTCATCATTAACAGTTATTGAATTTATATCTATTCTTGAAAGTTGCTGCCATGTTCCAATTGGTAAAAAAACAGTCTTGTTTTGGTTTAGTTTTAAACCATTGTTTTGCATCCACTTATTGACCCCAGACAAACATTTAACCAGTTTGTCCAATTCTGATTTAAAAGAATCTGGCCTGCTCGTAACAATAATTTGCAAGTCGTCCGCAAAAGCATGACCTGAAAAACCAAATGATTCTATTATTTTTAGTACTTCAGATGTATAGATCAGGAATAGAATAGGACCTAAAACCGAACCTTGTGGCACACCAGACAGCATGACATTAACCTCAGACAATTTACCACCGAATGATACCCGTTGTGATCTACCTACCAGATACGACTCAAACCACCTCAGAACAGCACCAGAGATTCCAAAACTGCAACGTAGTCTTGTTAAAAGTACTTTGTGATCTACGCAATCAAATGCGGATGACATATCAAGAAAGACTAGCCACATTTTGTTCATCAATTGCCCCGTACACTTCTGAGAAAACTTGCAAAAGAGCAGTTTCAGTCGAATGGTACTGACGGAATCCAGATTGATATTTCGGCATTAAATTGTTATTGTTCAAGTAACTGAGTGTTTGCCTGGCAACCACACGTTCGATAATTTTGGATAGGAAAGACAGATTAGAAATTGGTCTGTAGTTCCCAACATCATTTTCGTCTAGATTATGTTTTTTCAGCAGCGGAGTTATGATAGCATGCTTGCAGCCAGAAGGAAACTGTCCCACATTTAAACTGCTGTTTATCAGGTCTGCCAAAAATGGTGCGAATAGTTTTATAAACTTTTTTAATACGTGGGTAGGTATTACATCTTGTTGACACGACTTTGTAGGTGAGTTTTGAACTAACTGTATTACCTCCCCTTTAGAAACCATAGAAAACGTTGAGAACAAACTATTATTGACATCTGATTGGAATTCTGCCAGGCTCGGTTGAGCATCGTTGTTGGCACTATCTCTCAGCTTGCTTAACTTTTCATTGAAATAGCACATAAATCAATCAGGTGTTAGTTTATCCATATCTGAGCAGGATTTATCGTTACGACCCCTACAGAGAATGCTGTTCACAACCCGCCAAAGATTTTTCGGTTTCATCTTATTGTCATCAACAATTTTTGTCCAATACTGACGACGTTTTTTAGAGAAAAGTTCCGATTTATTCTTCAAAGCAGTCTTCCATTCATCTTGATGAATCAACTGTGAACTTTTTCTGTATCTTCTTTCCATTTTTCTGCACAAACGCTTGGCTAACCTGCAATCATTATCAAACCACGGAGCCATACGAACGTTATTGGTGGTCACTGCACGAATAGGGACAACTTTATCAGCAATAGATTTTAACTCGTTGTTATATAAATGCAATTCCTTGCCTACCTCATTGCTTTGACATGATTTGGAGAGTGGAGATTCAAGCACGAGTTTGATGAAGTCATCAACATTCATCTGATTCCACATTTTAGAAACTTTTTTAATTCCAACCAAATATCCTCGAGTCATCGACAGTTCAGCCCAAATAAAACTATGATCAGAATAAATTCCACTTGGATGGACTAAACAATCATGAACTGGAAAATTCTCGGAGGTTACTATCAAGTCTAGTGTACCACCACGTAAATGTGTTGGTGCTTTTACACGATTGATGAGTTGAAAATTATCGAAGATATCATTTAAATTAGCAGCATAAGGATCATTCGTCTTTTCAACGTGCACATTGAAGTCGCCGGTTAAAATAATTCGAGAACTGAGTACTGTAATGTTTTCCAGAATAGAAATCAGTTCTTTAAAAAATAATCCAGACAGCTGTGCAGAACCCGGTCTGTAAATAGCGAGCAAAATAAACTCCTGACTAACTTCAAATAAAAAGATAAACTTCAAATGTGGTAACTGTAGGTAAGGCTATTTTTTTACATTTTAAACATAGACAAAAAAATATTATCAATCCACCATGGAGAAGGTCGTGATCTCTTACAAAATCTACAAAGCGGTAACCAGGAGGAGTAGATAACGTAATGGATGGATTTTCTGATGAACCATGCCATGATTCAGTAACAACAAAAATATCCAAACCATCACTGATCAAATCATAAATGATGTTGTACTTTAAGCCAATCGATCTTATATTTAGTAAACCCAATTTTATTTTAACCACACAAAAGTTATTATTAGTCCGATCATTTTTAATTCCACCAATATTTCTACCAACAGCACCACCTTTCATTACATTGTTATTACCTACTTTTTTAAGATCATTAAAACCACCACTTTCATTACGATCATTACCGGTACCATTTGTTATTACGCAATCACTACCATCATCTTTACCACAACCATTTTTACCAATAACGTTCAGATCGCTTCCAGTACCACAGACCATCGAATAACCACCACCATCAAGACCATGACCATCATTACAACAACCAAAATTAACATTATCATTTAAATCATTGCCAGTGCCTTTCATCATTAAACATTTATTACCGTCGAGAGATGATTCCAAATAATCGTCATCAATAGCCCCAAGCGTCAGACTGCGAACACCAAAATCTTCACCACCAACAACATTACTATTATTATTCAAATTAAAACTAACATTTTTTATGTTAAAATTGCCACCACCATCTTTACCACTAACTCTATCACTTGCACTAATATGACCATAATTTTTAAAATCATTAACATTACAATTTGATATCGAATATTTTCTAATATCATCACCACGGCCATCATCATACCCACAAACATTACCAACAAAACTACTACTACCAATACTCTTTGTCGTCAGAGAGTCACCATGAAAGCCATCATCACCACCAACATCATTAGTATTCGTCAGTTGAACACCTAGGTCTGTCTCTGAGTTACCGGAAATTTGACCACCCTCCATTTGCCAACCTGACCTCTTACACGGTATAAAAAACCCTTGTCAGAAGCTTCCAATGCCCTTGCCTCCTCTATCTTTGACCTCAGTTCCTTTTTCTGCTCTGGGGAGAGATCGTGACTGAGTCCGATGCGACCCAGGCTGACATCAAGCGATTTTAATTTAGAGACGTTTTTAATTATCATGTTTTTTATGTCAACACTATCCATTTTCAAAAGCAGCGGTCGGGTATGATCGTCTGATTTTTTTTCCGAGTCTAGTTAGATGAACTAGGTTAGTATCAACTCAACAACATTATTAGACAGGTGTTTCAGAATTTTCATGACGTCCACTCGATCACTGCCACTCTCAGGCAAATGAAATATAATTAAATTATTTTCTCATTCCTTGATTTGTTTAGCATCATTTATTGTCGTCTGGACTGTTTTTACTTCAGCCTTGATATCATCAGTGTGTCCTTTAATCTCGCGACTGACGATATCTGCAAATGATACTTTCATATCATTCTTTCAAGATGTTCAATTTACAACGAAAAACATCAGAGCTCTCAAGTTGGTTTAACTTTTCTTTATTACTTTCTATTACTGCGTTGATATTCTCGAGCTCAGACTTTATATTTGCATTCAAATCGTTCAATGTGTTGAGTTTGTTGAAAACATCTTTTCTGAGAGAATCGACAGAGCTGGTCAACTTTTTAATGTTAGGTCCCAGACTTGAGCATCTATCACAGAACCATCTGAGGTTGGTGCTGGAATCCAAGAGGTTGCAAACCTCTTCAGGGATTGAAACACAGTTCGCATGCGCAAAGTACTCACACTGAGAACATTTGACAGCCTTCCCCTGACCTTTCGCCTCTGAACATTGCAAACATTTATTTTTATTCATTTTCACCAAAAAACAGTTTAACTTTCAATTTATAATATTGAACGTTAGAATCTGAGTTAATGTTCGTACATAACACTCCTCGATATAAATATCACAAAAATTACAAAAACGCAGAGAAAATCAAATACGGCTAAACCCAACGTAGCGAAAAAATATTGTATGTATGTATGTATGTATGTATGTATGTATGTATGTATGTATGTATGTATGTATGTATGTATGTATGTATGTATGTATGTATGTATGTATGTATGTATGTATGTATGTATGTATGTATGTATGTATGTATGTTAAAACCAAAACATGATGAGTGACACTGAACCGTCAAACATCAAGTAACAAATGGATTAACACTTTGATTTGTCGTTAATTGCACATGTCGGCATTCAGTTGGATATTTTCAAGCACACAGACACGCAGGAACCGCTGCAACAAGCACGAAATGTGGTTGGTTGCAAAAAACAGTTCCCTGCTGTCACCTGATCTGACACTGATCCTTTTGCCTATTTCCTTAAGAAATTTAAGGGTGTTGGGGTCCATCGGGCCGAGAACCTCGATGCATATTGGCAAGAATTCCATCGAGGGGAGGGCACTCCCATATTTTTTCATTTTCTCGTCCGCTGCCCTGGCCGCGGCCAAACCGCATTCTTTACTTGTCAGGTTTACGTAACGTTCGGCGAGGGTGCCAGGGACCGTAACATCCCACGCCAAACATCTGCCGGCTCTCCAAGGTATTAGCGTGCATCCGTCCGGTCGCCTACCATCATGCGCAGAAATGCCGGATGGTTCCTTGAGAACCGGGATTGAAGCCTTGGAGAAGAGCCGACAAATGTAATCGTTTAGCGCTGAGTGACGTAGTTGACGGCCCCCACCCAGGCGACAAACCAAACCGTGGTGCCCAAACTCGTTCGCCTCAGCGCCACATCGGCACGTGTATTTATTTTGAATGACCAGGCCAAGTCTGAAGCCAATGGCAAATCTTACAGACTCGTCGTCAATCCTGGTGCCCACAGAGGTGTTAGGCCACGATCTCAACCACCCACAGCTGGCAACGCTGGACATGGCCAACAAACGAGCGGTGGAAAAGTCGTCGCCGCATGAAGACAACAAATTTTGAAAGATTTTTTTATATTCTTCGTTCAAAATTTGGACGTGCGTACGGTCCCCCGGGGCGGACGCTGGGGGAAGAATATCGCGGCAACGAAAAAACCGGTGGAGCAGGGAAGACTGTAGGTCGAGAGTGGCAGCGGCAGAAGAATTATAAACGACGGGAGCCAGCTGAACCACGCTAAGCAACCCCAGCCCACCAAATCGCACCGGCAGCTGAGCCTGGGACCAACCACTGTCGGTCACTTGAACATTGCAAATCGACGACAGGGCGGTGCGCAGGGCTCCGTCAAATTCGCCCAATTAAAATCAAATTAATATGTATGTATGTATGTATGTATGTATGTATGTATGTATGTATGTATGTATGTATGTATGTATGTATGTATGTATGTATGTTTTTATTGTTTATTGTTTATTGTTTATTAAATTGACAATAGTTTTTATATGTTGCTTCTAATTAACCTTTTAATTATAATATTATTATTGCAATTTTTACTGCTATTGAACTCATATTACCATGATTACCGTGGTCAATTGTTGTTATTATTATTAATTATTAATTTTAAGTTCCGAGGGCATCTCACATACATAATATATACACAACAGTTTGGTTTATCGTCTGGGTGGGGGCCGTCAACTACGTCGCTCAGCATTAAACGATTACTTTGCCGGCTCTTTTTCAAGATCTCAATTCTAGTTTGGAAGGAACCATCCGGTATTTCAGCGCACGATGGTAAGCGCCCCAATGGTTGTACCTTTACCTCTTGGGTAGCCGGAAGAAGTTTGGCGTGAAACGTTTCGATTTTTAGCACCCTTGCGGAACGCTACGTAAATCTCGCATGTAAGGAATGTGGTTTGGCCGCAACCAGCGGACGAGAAGATGAAAAAATATAAAAACGTCCTCCCCTCGATGAAATTTTTGCCAACATGCATCGAGATTCTCGGCCCTATAAATCCCAAATTCCTTAAAACAATATGTAACTTGATTAGCGTTAGATCAGGTGACAGCAGAGAACTATTTTTGCAACGAATCCCATTTCGTGCTTGTTACAGCGGTTCCTGCGTGTTTATGTGACGGAGAATATTCTGCTGAATGCCGAGACTTGTGCAGCTAACGACAAATCAAAGTGTTAGTCCAATTGTTACTTGATGGTTCAATGTCATACATGCATACACACATACATGCATGCACAACACAGGTTTTGTACGCAGTAATAACAATCGAGCAGGATTGTTGTAAGTGCTGACTCGACAAATGGCGCAAAAATAAATTAAGAAATCTTCACTTGTTAGATGTCAATTTTATGATTGAAATTGTAAAATTTAAATGTGCTAACACGAAATTATTAAAATAATTGTTGCAAATTATTATTTTTTAATCTTTGGAACAAAACTGATAAAATGGCATATCAAAAACCATTAACTTAATCTATTTATTATTATGGATATGTTATAATGGATTTCGAAAAGGCGAGTTAGAATGCAATAAGCACCATATTTCCAATCCACAAACTATTTGGTTGTTTATTCCACCTTGGACAATGCCTCGGGCGTAAAGTGCAGAAGAAAATCTTACTACTGCATATACAGCATATTGAAAAATGAAAACATACAATTATTCTTAAAAAGGCTTCGAACTCTTTCATTTGTTCTACTACTGCATCAAGTCTTCCCTGCATTTGGAGTCCTAAGTGAACTTGCCCAGATGTTGTTAAAGAGTGTACGAATACTGGGAAGATAATTATATTGGTCGGGGTCGTGAAAAACAAAATCGTCAAGTGACACCGAGATTTCTAGTGACTTTTTGGAATGTTCGCGGTCGGGTGCATGGAAACCTGCCACGAAGAAATAACTCAGTGGATGGGTGGCATCATGCATTTCTGCATTCTGCTGGTTGTCACCATCCGAATGTTTACAATCTTATTGATCACTTCCGCAAAGAACAGGAGTTTACTGAAAACAAAATTGCTCAGTACAATGCAGGGGAACGAAACAAAGCTGCCAGCAAATCCAAAAATCTCAAAATGAACACACGTCTAACAACAATATTGCTGATTTATCACCATGGATATATATATATAATATCCATCATGCTTATTACACCATATCACGAATGGAATTTTTACGTCACATTACATATAGTTTGACTTCGTAATTTATATTTTTAAAACCTCTTACGAATTAGTTTAATATAATCTATCATTTTGTTAAACTTTGTTTTATTCTTGTATTTTTTGAAATTTATTTCGGAAAACTAACTTATAACTAATGAATTTGTTAAGATTTACGTCTTGCAAACTTATTTATAAAAACATTCACGCTTTTATTTTTTTTAAATTTTAACAACGATGCCATGTTGCACTAGTTCGTCAGTGTTTCGTCTTCACGCAATTTTGTTGTGCGCGATTTTTACGGCGCGATTTTGTCATGCGCGATTTTGTCGGTGTAAGTACATTTTAAAGCTTTCATCCAATTGTTTCACGTAATTAATCTTGCAATAAAATGATCATCCGTCCAAAGGATGGCCTTTGATGTTTTCTAGATTCGTTTTATCTTTTTAACGTTTCATCTATTATTTCCAAAGAGTGCGCTGTACGAGTGCTTCTATTTTCACTTCTTCATTAGTCTTTCTTTTTTTTTTAATTTTTTTTAAACTCAACATTGACAGACTGCTGTAACGTGCAAGTTGAAAATGGATTAAACTTTTGAAATGGGGGAAAAGGAAAAGAATACAAAAATAGAAAATAAAACTTTCAAATTCTTGAAAATGCACATAGATTAATTAAAGTAATTACTGTTATAAAATGATATTGAAAAAACAGAACGTAAATACAAATAAATATAAATATACACAAATAATAATGAAAAGGTGCCGAATATAAGGTGATGATTGAAAATGGAAGTCATCATTGGAGAGGAATTAACCGGTTGATGCTGTTTATGAGTGGCGGTAGACTTAATGTGCTTAAGAATGATTGTTTTCTTGTGACGGGTTAAATATTTTTTTTAATTCTTTATAATACAGCTTTATCAATCGCAAGGTAGCCTACATTTTATTTCATACTTTTAGTTAAACTGTTCAAAAAAATAATAAAATAATTAAATTTTGATTTAAGTGATTTATTGAAATAAAAAGTTTGGCAAAAGAAAGACGTTAAAATTACAGTTGCATTTTTTAGCAACAGGCTAAACGCAAGGAGGGTTTTGTAACCTTAGCTCGGCACAAAATGTTTCACGTAGAGTTTTTGTGTAAATTTGTTTTTCAATCATTCGGTATTTCTCGTAGCGGGAAATTGATTTATAGAATGTTCTTGTTTTTTTTTTTTTTTTTTTTTTTTTTTTTCACTAAATGTGTATAAAACAGCAAGTGTAGCAAAACAAACTCGTTAACTGTTTTCAAACGTCTGACAACAAAAATTGTAATTTCTGTGACACAATTTGTTAGATGCTTCTAAAATAAAATTTCTTTGTTTTCAATAAAATTAGATTAATGATTTATGTGAATTGTTGTTGAGGTTGAAATCTTTGCAACCCGATCAGATGGAGTGCCTGCTGAGGTGCATGCAGGATCAGGAGACGGGCGTCACTGTGAGGAACGTGAAGATATTCATGAACAAAATACCAAGCGTATTCACTGGTACGTTTTAGTTGGTTGCTTGGTTGGTTTGTTGGCGGTTGGCTGGGCTGTTTGGTCTGTTTTTTGGTTGGTTGGTTGGTTGGTTTGTTGGCTGGTTGTTTTGTTGGCCGGTTGGTTTGGTTGTTTGATTGATTGGTTGGTCGGTTGGTTGGTTTGTTGGCTGGTTGTTGGATAGTTGGTTGGGAAATTTTTTTGTAACATGTGAATGTTTTGTGTCAGTAAGTTGGGTTTTAAATGTTGTTGCTCCATTACCGGTTGTATTTGTTGCATCGGGTGATTTTGCGATATTATGCCCCTTTGAATTATGAATGAAATTGTTCTCAACATGAAATAAAATGAACATTTCCAAAGCATTGCAGCCATAACTGTATGCTAACAGTATGCAATTATTATTTACATTACTACTACTACTACTACTACTACTACTACTACTACTACTACTACTACTGTTACTACTGCTACTACTACTACTATTACTACTACTACTACTACTACTACTACTACTACTACTACTACTACTGTTACTACTGCTACTACTACTACTACTACTACCATTACTACTACTACTACTACTACTACTACTACTACTACTACTACTACTACTACTACCATTACTACTACTACTATTACTACTACTACTATTACTACCAACACTATTATTTATATTATGCAATGTTTTTTGGTATTGTTCAATATTATTATTTCAATAAAGTTTCCACTATAGTTCAAACCTGAACAAAAAACCCATTGAATAATTTATGCCTCGACTTTTTCGTTTGTTATTGCACAGCACATCCTTACATAATTACATCGTTACATATTATCATTAATCATCATCATTATCATCGCCTATCATCATCATCATCATCATTCATCTTCAACCTCATCATCATTATCATTATCCTCCTCCTCTTCATCATCATCGCCTATCATCATCGCCTATCATCATCATCATCATCATCATTAATCATCATCATCATTAATCATTATCATCATTAATCATTATCATCATCACATTTGATGAAAAATACATACCAAATTATTACCCATTTTAATCACATCGCTTCATCCCTATAATTACTACTTGGTCGTAGAACTTTTTAGCTCGGCGGTCTCAACTTTTCAACTTGGCACAACGTTTCTTTGAAATATTTTGTTGTTTTACTTTTCATTGCGGTCTATTTTTTGGTTTTGTTAATTAAATACGCTCTATTTAAATAATATTTAGTTTTTTAATACATACAAAATTGAAACTGAATTAAAATTTAAAAAATATATTTTTATTTTATTTAAGAAACAATTTGAAGAAATGTTAAACATGGTTGAATGAATAAAAGCGAATGAGAAATCGGAAATAAAAATGGAAATACGATTTACTTCTTGTATATCTCGGCTTGTGATTCCTTCATTTAGTCATACTTATTTGAAGATTTTAATGAGTTGAGTTTTAAACACCAACATGCGCGTTGGTATCAACAGTCGATCTCAACATTTTAACTTTCAACATGAGGAAGTGTGTATGTGAAATCATTCAGGATCATTCAGACGCCCTCCTTGTCAGCAACCTCGTTTGAAAGTTTTTCATCTCTCCGAGTTGATCGCTCTCTGCCATGAACGTGATTCTAATTAAGGCCTGATGCTTATTCAGCTTAAAAAATTAAATGGATGCTGACATTTTGAGTCGCACAACCAAACTTCCTGTAAGAAATCAAATCAAATTTTATTATAAAATAATTTAAAAGCTCTTTTGTTCATAACTTTTCCATTAGCTTCTGAAACTGTCATGCATGCAGATATCGCTGCATCTACACGATGAACATTCGGGAACTGAACTAACTCACAAATAATCATTCACGGCCAGACGCACACACAGTCCATTTAATACGAATGTGGCGAAATGTTTTTTCGTTTTCATTCAAGTAGCCTAGAATGGAAACAGCCCAGAGAATGCTAGTTTATTCATGTGCGCTTAATTGGGCATTGGGCATACATTTTGATAAGATTCTTATAGATTTTAGAAATTGTCGCAGAAATCTTCAAAATTCAGCGACCTGAAAATGTAATTACTCCACGAAAGATTGTTTAAAAAGTTTTCAAACTTTTGTCGCATTCGTGTTTCATACAACAACAAACCTCCAATGTAAAAATTGCCTTCTTGCAATAATTGAATACATAAAGAATCATCTATCTATCTTAATTAAAAATTTTGTAAAAATGAAATGACCAAAATCTCGTACAAAATCTCACCTAAATCTCAGATGAAAAATAAATTTAGAAAAAATAAAAGAAAGCACAGGCATGGATATAATATTATATATACCCATCTATGAGCACAACTTCCCATTTTGATGAGTGGAGATGCAAAAATCAAATTCTTGCCGACCTATAAAAATTTTATTACTAAAAAATCCTGGAAAAGTGTGCAAGTTTGCAACGATGGAGAGGATTTCGAGGGATCGTAAATCAAGAAGATAGTCGTGAACAACGCTGCTGCCAGGAAATGAACATAAAACTAAAGAACTTGTTGTCAGAATCATAACTCCAACAATCCCTCCGGAATACAAATAATCTGATTAAGTATCATAAACATCATTATCATATCACCGGTATACTTATCCTCCTACTCCTCATCATCACCACCATCTTCCTCACTGATACTACACCTTGCTAACAAAGCAATAGTAGCGGTAAAGTAGCAAAAGTTGTAGTATAGGTGGCAGTGTAAGCAGCGTTGATGGCTGCATTGGCTTCATGCGCGGCTTGGTGGTTGTGTCTGTTGGCTCTTTTGTTTCAATGGTTGTGCTCACTTAGCAAATAACATTTACCATCCTGATATTTTCAACATACTCTTTGACATCGTCACTATCCTGAAATCATCATTAATCGCCCCCCTTTAATAATCAGCTTTAAACGCTAATTAAATTTTAATAACTGTTCATTTCACAATCTGCCGGTGAAAATATTTTTTATAAAAAATAAATGCAAAGAGCAATAATAACTTCTGATCAAAAAAGTCACACACTGAAATTTAATTATGCCATCCAACGGGAAATTGAAAAAGCCAAAAGTGAGAGACGGTTCCAACATCGATTTCATCTTCCTCCTCATTTCTCTATGAGCATTATATTTTTTGAGACTCATTTTTATAACACTTCAAATTTTTTATTTTACAACAAAAATTCTCATTGAAATTGGAAAGACTCGGTGTTTATATGGATGTTTTGAATGCTGCTACCTACCAGACGGGTTGCCCATGTCCCAAGTTTGATCTAATACACCAATACATCGGAGACGAATTACACTGACTTTGTGCGCCGGAAAGATTAACATGCAGACCAGTCTGTCTGGAGATGCGCTAACTTATCTGAGGGAAGGAACAGATTTAACCAGTTTTGGAAACTCAATGGAGGGGTCGACTGCATTCATTCAATCACGATGACGCTGTGGTTTCAAAATTCAAATCATCTAATTTCGGAAGAGAAAATTTTCATTCTCGGCCGTTCAAATTTGGAATGTGACGATCTAAATAATTTCAACTTTACTGTTGACTTTACTAAAGTCTGAAAAATTATCTGTTTAAGCTCAAATTGCGAAAAAAAATGAAGTGTGAAGCAGAACAATCCTTATTAAAGTAATTCATTATATCACAATTTAATTTTTTAATGAAACTTCAAAACTTGAATGCACAAATATATTAATATCAAATGTATATTCATGTATTATTTGCCGATTGCATCAGGTTCAGACGTCATAAACTGGATGTCAAGGAACTTGGACTGTGACGACGCAAGTGAGATTCTTCTCCATCATTTTAATCATCAGCCTCCCCATCTCACTCACTATCGTGTCAACCCCATCATCATTATTTTCATCATCATTATAATTGTCATCATCATCGACAATACTTAATTGTTATTATTTAATTCATTTCAATGTTTGTATGAACGTAAATATAAAATCATTAGACCGCTCAGGAATTTATAAAATAAGATAACCAACAACAGAGTTTTGCAGCGTAATTTGCATTCAGTAATTTCATTCGCATCATCAACTAACTGCCAACCAGCACTGCTCCCTACTCACAAAATTCTCTTGAAAGCAAGCGCACCGAGCAACATTCAACCTTGTTCGCCATTTTCTTCATCCATTCTGCTGTCATAAAGTCATTGTACGTCAAAAAATAAAAATGACCAAAAGTTCAGTCGATCGTCACAAGATGAAGGAGCAAAGATAAATAAATATATGATTTTGATGCTTTTATTCTGTTCTGGGGTTCTGCGATAAGAAAGAAGTTGAAATGAAAATGATGGATAAAATTGTAAAACGAAACGACAGTGGCGCAAAAAATTTTCTCCATACACATGAAAATGTAATTTTTGTATTTATTTGCCAGCAAAATTTGTGATGATTTCTTTAATATTAAAAAACAAAATTCAATAGACACGCTTCGTTTTGAGAGAAAAAGTATTGTTTTCTTGGTACTATTGCGAAAAATTTAAGCGTATATAATAATGAAATTGGATAGAAAATTTAATTGAATTGAAAAACCAAGCGATATTAAATGGAGAATGGCATGCTCGCTTTGTTCATGTTGGCCTGTCGTGATGGCAGCTTTTTAATGAGTTGGTTGGTCGGTAGGGGAGTGAAGTGATCGTTGAAGTTGAAGAAGGGAGCTCCATGGCAGTTCCAGATAATGTTACATGTTACACTCTTGTTTATCGGTCTGATGGTAATCAGAAATAATTTATATTTTGATTTCAGCTAAACTATGCTTTGAACGTTTTCAAAAATTGTTCATCTTATTTTTATAATTCATGTTAATTCATGTTAATTTTAATGAAATTATCATTTAAATATTTAGCTTTAGTTGTAAAAATGGAGTAATCGCAACATTAAAAGTAATGATATTAAATAATAATAAACCACAAGTAGTGTGAAACGATTAACGATATATTATGGATGCACCTAACAACCTGCCCCAGACGATGCCCTCCACCTGGCACACCTGCTGGCCACCCACGGGTACATCTTCCCGATCGATGATCACGTGCTTACCGTCAAAAATGACAACACTTTCTACAGATTCCAGGTTGTATTCATTATCCTCTTCCTCCTCCTCATCATCGTCATCATCGTCATAACCATCGTCATCGTCATCATAACCAGCATCATCGTTATGATCCGGCTGCTGTTTTTGTTCTTTTTGATAGCATTATATCCAGCGTTACTGTTGAATCAAGTTACTCTCGTTTCTCAAAATTTAAATTAGTCAAAGAATATAACCTACTTTTGAAGAAATTGACGTGACCTTTAAAACAATCCGAGCATAACATTGGGTTTGAAATTGTTAAAGTTTGGCTCCGTCAAATTTTAGCTTACTAAATGCTTATATATATTAGGAAATCAACCGAATTTCTATTCCGTGTGTAGTTGGTGTGTATGTGTGTGTGTACTTGTGAATAAATAATGATAATAAGTGAATAGATGTATTATTATTATTATTATTTTCTCTTAGATATTCATCAGAATATTATTAAGTATTATTGTTAACTTATTAAGTATCCAACTTCCATAGAGTTTTGCAACCGGCGTTCATGACAGTCCCGCATCTTACGAATTCAAAATTAAAACTCTGAAACCGGTTTCCTTGGTGTATATAATTGAATTAACAATTTTTAAATTCGCCGTCTAGCAAATTTTTTACGTCTGCAAAATAAATGATGGCCACATGCACTGATCCGAGTTCCCCGGGCATCGCTTCATTGCACGCGCGCTCGGTTCTTTTTATTCGGCTCGTTCAATCACTGACAGAATTATGTAAAATTTTGTAAAAATCTTGAAAAAGCTCATAATACCAAATAATTAATATTTCGTAATATTTTTCCAATTCTGGCATTAATTTTCAACAGAAAAATTTTAGAAACCATTGAATCTTGTTGGGCTATATTTGCTTGTTTGTCAATGAAATCCAACTTTTTGTGGTTGTTTGGATGGCCTGCATATTTTTACATTCAACGATAATGTGTGAAAGTTGACAAATCTAAAAGAAAGTAGGCCTATTATTAGGGGGAATATTTTCAAACGCAGCTTGCTACCAACACTTAGGAAATTTAATTAGCTGTTGCCAACTGCTTGGCACTTAATTTTATCACTTGATTCGCATGCTACATTTTTCATTTATTTCTCAATTTCTATTTCTCGTTACACCCTGAATTCTAACAATTTTTAAATTGTTCAAACGTAGCAAAGTTCAAATAGATGGCTTATTATTGTGCACACCAGTGAAACAATATCCAACTGTTTCTGCAAATACATTTAAAATAACCTTTCACTTTAGAATGTTAATGTATTTATGAAGATGAGTCCACGCAGGGGTGAAACTTCGTGTCTATGTAATTTTTACAAAACTTTGAAAACACATTTTTTGTTTCAAAAAAATTGGATAGAAAAATTCAGATTTTCGAGCCCATTCCAGGCCCCCTAGTGAGCCCGGGCCCCAAGTTTCAGACTTGGCTGACATACCCTCTAGGCGGCCCTGAGCCCACAAAATGTAAAGTGGATGCCATTAAATCTACGACACCCATTAAAGATGCAACAACGATTTCATCCCACCTAACCTACCTAATAAAACATCATTTGCGTTTTGCCGCCAGCACTGCACGACACTAAATAGCTTCAATGTTGGCCGATGATATGCTTCGTTAATAGTTAACAGAAAATTTACTTTCATTTTATAAATTTTACTTTTCCAAAAAATTTGAAAACCATTCGACCATCAAATAAAATTTTGAATTGACAAAAAAAGTTTGAAAGAGTGGAAAGCAAAGAGGAAGTGCTTGCTGACGTGAGGTTGCTTCGGAATTAAATTCACTTCCTGGCTCCTTCAATGAATGAAAATCAAACTTAAATAAATTTTATTTAGTTATTAATTGTACTCAAATTATAATTAGTAAATGTCAAACTAGCTTTTAATTACAAATTTTTAGTTAAAATGTGCCAATTTGTTAGCTAAATTTTGCTAATTGACGCATGTTGTTCAAAATTTATAAACGCTACCCGAAACAAATTCAACCAGTTTAAAACAAATTTAAACTCCGAAATGTTTGCTCAGCAAATTTTATTTCAATCACTCTCGTTTCCCCTTTTATTGCCAGAAGTAATAACATTTCCACGTGTCCTGAGGAAACAACAATGGTTCACTGCTTGTTAAAAAGGTGAACAATTTAACGAACTTCATTATCGTGAGACCGAGTTTAACGAGGTTTCGTCTGACCTTGTGCTTGCCTGCGAATGTTGTGCGCGAGCTGAGGTGCCCGTGGAGTCTGCTATAAGACCATAAAATCGTGCAGTTGTGTGTGGTGGTGGCTACATTCAAATGTTTGTTGAGATTGTGTACAATATGGTGTGTATGTTTGTTTGTGTGTGTGGTGTATTGTATTGTATGCCAGAGTCTATTTATTTCTTTGTTCCACACACTTTTAATCTTTTAATCACATTTATTATAATCCAAGTAGTATTTTCTCCGTGGTTAAATTATTTAAGTATTTTGAATTAGTGAATGAACAAATTAATGAGTGAAACTTTTTCATTGCATAAAAATTAATAATAAAGTTGATATGAATTATTAATAACCTGAATAAACAAACAAACAAACAAACAAACAAACAAACAAACAAACAAACAAACAAACAAACAAACAAACAAACAAACAAACAAACAAACAAACAAACAAACAAACAAACAAACAAACAAACAAACAAACAAACAAACAAACAAACAATCAAACAAACAAACAAACAAACAAACAATCAAACAAACAAACAAACAATCAAACAAACAAACAAACAAACAAACAATCAAACAAACAAACAAACAAACAAACAAACATACAAACATACAAACAAACAAACATACAAACAAACATACAAACAAACATACAAACAAATAAACAAACATACAAACAAACAAACAAACAAACATACATACATACATACAAACAAACAAACAAACATACAAACAAACATTCCTCACCGCGCCGCAGACACCATGCTTGTGGACGAGTGCTTGCATGGAACCTGACGAAACTGACTACGGTGAGTATCTTATCATTAAAGACATCGGGATAAAATTTACCACGTGATGATGTTAATAACGAGTGTTTATGACAAAAAGTTATTTTCTGCTCACAAAAAAAGTTCTTTCTTTTATTCAGTCTCATGTTCGATCGGGCAAAATGTTTTTTCTAATTAAAAAAATGATTTCTATTGACTTAGCTGAAAATTTTTTTTTCTATAAACCGCGATGTTGGGTTAGGTCTTAATAATACCATTGTTGTAAAAATTGAAATCAAAGTTTTTCTTGTCAACGTTAAATTTCAAAAATTTCTTTTCATCATTTTCGTTGACTGGAACGTATTTAAAAACGCGCCCAACAACAGCTGTCTACCTGTGCAAGCGGACTATGCAGAACAAACAGAGGTTCTCTTTTGTATTATTTCTTCATAATTTGTTCAGCATGTTGTTTGCCTTGCATTGAGTAATTAATTGAAAGGGTCGTCATAACAAATTTTGTTTTTTCATTGCGTTTTTTAATAACATTTTTAAGCAACTGTACCAGATTCGATTTTATTTATATTTCTTCTATTTGACAGGTTTTACTCTAATTCGCGAAAAAAATTTTAAACTATTATTCTAATAAATAATCATTTTAGTGAGTTATCTTATTAGCAATTAATCATCACAGTGATTATCGCAGTTGTGTTACCATGTGACAACTTTTTCAGGCTGGAGTTGGCAAACTTCGAAGCTGAGAATCTTGCAAAACTGCAGAAGTCGTTGGCGCGCAAATGGGAGTTGATTTATTTGCAGGCTGAAGCACAAGCTAAGTAAGGAGATGTGTTGCTGGTTGGTGTGTTGTTGCTGGTGTGTTGTTGCTGGTGGGTAGTTGCTGGTGGGTTGTTGCTGGTGTGTTGTTGCTAGTGTGTTGTTGCTGGTGTGTTGTTGCTGGTGTGTTGATGCGTGTTGCTGTTGTTTATGCTAATGTGGACTTTGTTAGCTGCCTGCTTGCTTCTGTTCTGTTGATCTCTTGAAATAATAATTTCTTCCTCCATTGGTTGTTGTCATAAAAAGCCATCACCATCGTCGCCATCGTCGTCATCATCAGTGACAACAACTTCAAAACGTCCTGACAGACGAGATGTGACGTGTAATTATTTCAAAATTGCAGAGTGGACAAGAAGAGGGACAAGTTAGATCGGCAGATACTGGACAGCCAGGAGAGAGCCTTTTGGGATGTCCACCGACCCGCAGTACGTTGTTGCTGTTGTTGTTGCTGGTGTTGCTGCTATTGATGTTGTTGTTCTTGGTGTTGCTGCTATTGATGTTGTTGTTATCTTCTCGCATGTCGTTGTTTTTACGGGGGTCACTAACTTTTTCTCTCTGTGGTGATTCATCAGAGGCGTGAACATCGTGACGTTACTTGAATCGTAATTGATGTGCTGAAAAATTATATTTGATGCTAAAAAATTATATATGAATTACTGCTGGCTCCACTACCGAACAGCCTATCCAACTCTCCCGCTCTTTCCTCATCTTAACGCCGTTTTCAATATTTTTTTATTTTATAAAAAAATTCCTCTTTTTGTCAGCAATTTCTTGCACGGCAACATCGTGTTGAATATAAATTCATGATTAAATCCGCCGGTCAGTTTTAAGATACAATTCTCACAATGTTTAACTTGCTCATAACCTAGAATGCAACAGAAACTTTTGCTTTTTTTATGTTTGGACGTGTTTTATGGTGTCCTCGTTAAATTCTTTCCTATTAAATATTTCATTCCACGGTCGTGTTATTGCTGGCACTGTTTGCATTTTGTGACCGAGCGGTTTTGTTTTGTGTGCACAGCTTAATTTGATTTATATTGCTTTGTAATCACTTTTTTGTTTGTTTAGAGATTTGTTTGATGTTTCAGTCTGGCTTCGTCCTGCTGTACGCTACTCTGTCGGGTTTTCATAAAGTTAATTTTTGTTCGTTCCTAATTAGTAAGTCAAAATAATTTGATGAGATGTTTTATATCTATCTCCAGTATTTTTTGGTCATGATGTTCAGTGTTTTAAATATTCACAAACGTTCACATCTTGCGTTACAGCCATCAATTTTTCTGATATTATGCACTGAGTACGTGTTGAACGAAAGAACAACTTTAAAAAAAACACGAGCCAATTTCAATGGCGTCACGTTCAGAATGGCGAGATTGCCAAAGCGATGAGATTGATACGAATGACGAACTAGAATATAGCTGAGTGAAAGTTCGATGCTTTTGATCATATCGGGAATTTTTTTAAAACCGAAGCATTTCAGAATGTTTAATGGCAACACAAAATGAGAGCATTTCAGAGCGTCTGATACAAACACCATCAGACCAAACATCAACTAACGCTCTGCTCTGCTCTGCTGCACACTGTCATGTTCTGATACCAATTTACAAGTAATGAATGACCAAAAACAACAACAACAACAACTCATTGAACAGCCCGGATGTGTGAACGCAACGGAGGTAGACATCAAAAAGACGTGCCGCACGCTGAAACAAGTGAAAACGTTCAACAAGGTTCGTTCCTCTTTTTTCATTTCATGGCTGTCTCTCTCTCTCTCTCTCTCCTCTCTCTCTCTCTCTCTCCCTCTCCCACACAAACACTATGTTTTTAGACATTATGTCTAGGTTTTAACAAATAAATTCATTTACATTTTAATATTTTAGATTATTTTTGTCTGTTTTTAATTCATTTTTTAGTAATTTTTTTTTGCGTGTGGTAGAAGAGGAACTCTTCACATTCGAACGCATGTCAGGCATCTTAATTATACACCAAATATATTTAAACGCTTGATTTAAGTGGGATGTGTTTAAAATTATTTGACTTCATGCCAGCTCTTGGAATTTGCATACAAAATGTTAAATTGGTATTGACATTTTCTTGACATTCACAAAAATTAAAAAAAATCCGCTAAACAAATAAAATAAGCTGCATGCATGAATTCACAGTGTGCTTGTATGTATGTATGTATTTATGAACGAATGAATGTATGTATGAATGTATGAATTCACAGTTTATAGAGACTGTTGTACAATTTCACATACAGTTAAATTCTTTAATTTGTTTCTGTAGTACTAAACGCACTTTAATAATGCCTCTTATAAATCTAGATTTTATTTAATTTAATCGAAGCCGAATTATTAATCTAATAAATTTTACAACCCACTAACATTTCAAATAAAACTTAGGGATACAATTTTACGAAAGTTACCAGCGCAAACAACAAATTAAATTTTATTTTCCACCATTTAGAAGTTAAATGTGGCTTAAAACTGCGATATAGAAATTTATGTTAGTTAATGCATCTAGATTGTTTGCTAACGTTCATTTTCTTCTGTAACACTGAACAAATGCTTTTCGTGTCTACAATGCGACGTGATAGATATTTCTCCGTCTACACCTGATGACATAAATATATTCATAAACACGCTCGCATCTCAAATAAAGCATAATTGCAAAAAAATGCAAAAAGAATGTTAAAAATTAAAAAATGAAAATAATAAAACCACCGTGAATAAATCAACCAAATGCATTTCTGAAAAAAACGAGTCCGTTCTGTCTGACAAGTTGAAACGAAATTTAAATTTTAAAAATATGGAAATGTAAAGTAAAAAATGCTGCAAACCTTTTTACATTTCAAATTCTCAATTATAAAACAACACTTGGAAAAGTTAAGTATTAAAATTAAAGGCAGTAAAATGTGTGGAGCGTTTCATTGGAACTCATATTAAATGTATACTTTGTATACGTACGCTGTACAAACACACAACCGGGGCATATGATAAAAAGATTAAAAAGCGAAGTGATTTATTTTGAAATATGGGGTTAGTTCCTTTGTGTTAAGGTTTAAAATTAGACAGATAGGCAATAAATTTCTAAACATTTGTGTAACTTGATAGCCAAAAAGCTGGGTGAACAGGAGACACGCAATCGATTAACCTGTCGTGTTCGTTGTAAAGATTTGTTTTTATGTAAATAATAGCATTAAAATTCATTCCATCATCACTTTAGCGAAAGTTCTTAAGTTCAAACAAACCACAAGTAGATCAATTTCAACAGAAAAAATTTGTTTAATTGTGGTTATCACTCACAGATTGAAAGCATTAAAAATGGAATACTACAAAAGACTAAAAAACTGTTGGGGAGGCCAAAAATGAGAAACGAAATTGTAAAAAAACTAACTGATAAAACAAAAAAGTATAAATAAGAAAGTATCATAGTATGAAACTTAAGACTTTTGAACAAAAATCCAAAGTTCCAGAAAAATAAATCATTCAAAATCTGTGCCAACGATAGAAAGAATGTGGAAGAGAAAAGTTGGAAAATCTGCAAAAATGGATAGATGATAAAAGAGAACTGGCTAAGGTGGCAATATCTGGTTCAATAAAATTGCCTAAAACAGAGGAGAAGTTTTGAACTTTCAAAATAATTGCACACCGTCGACTTCAACGGTCTTTCGAAGGATTAAGGAGTATCGTTTGATTGATTGGTTGTTATTGTTCAGTTTATATATATGTATGCACCAGTTGAATTGAATTTTGTATTGAAACATATTCCGATCAATCGAATTAAACGAGCACATTTACAAAATCGTCCATTCATTCATCATCACTTCATGTTTAAAAATGTATGTTGGGATGTTATATTTTGTATCTGTATATTAGTAATGAAACATCGTCCATTGTCTTCATAGGTTTTGAAATTTTCTGCAAATGCAGAAAAGGAACAAATTTAAATTATTATCCTATTACTTTAAAAAATTATTATTCTAGAATGTAAATAAATTGTTATAGAATATTTAAGAAAGCTAAAAATATTTTGTTCTTTTCGTTCATTGTTAAATTTGTCGATTTATTTATTTATTTGTTTGTTTATTAGCTTATTTTTTCGGTTTGTTCAAACATTTGTTTGTTATCTTTTAAATGATCATTTGTTTGATTGTTCTTTTAATTTATTAATTTTTTGTTGGTTTATTGTTAGACTTATTTGTTCGCTTATTTGACTTTTTAAAGCTTTTATTTTCGAAACAGCATTCTTGTAAAAAAGATATTACGAAGCAATGAAATGCTATTTTATTGTCCCTAAAAATGCCAAAATGCCATCTAAATAAAAACAAACATGCCATCCGAAACCAACAAAACCAAACAAAACTAAACCCATCAAAGATAAGCCAAGTGTGCAAAAGCAAAAAACTGGGAGGATAACTTTGAAAATAAAATCTTAGAAGCATTATAGGATGAATGTGGCGATCACAATTAAACAAACAACAGTTCAAACAATATTCATAAAATATATTTAAAAAAGTTCTTAATTGAAAACCAAATAAAATGAAGATACGGGAGTCGCAGGATTATCAAATAGAAAACAAAACAAGAAACTTAAATTAGATATCAGCATTCCTTGCAACGCATCCGGAATTGATGTCAGCCTCGTTACTACGCAACATCAACCATTTACGTCCCATAGTTCCCAGCTCGAACAGACGACGCGTAATCCAGCGATCTCTTAACCTATCAGATATCACTGACCAGTTTTCTTGGCTCATTTATAATATTACAATCCAGGTGTGAACACGAACATGATTAATCCCATTGAAACCCTTTATAATCTCGATAAAGTTCGGCTTTAGACAAACTCTTACCGAGTTTATTGTTACTGGCCTTTCTCATTTAACGTGAAGAAGAACAAAAAGTTTCATAGCAATTAAGTCCCCCCGCACACATCCACACCACGAAACAGCACGGATGTACATGCACATGCACACAGACAATCATGTACACACATTTATATGCGTATGACGACGCTGTGTAGTTTTTGTTTGCTTACGTTCGTTTATTATTTTTTTTGATACTTTGTTCGTTCGTTTAAATGATTATTTGTTCATTTGTTCGCTTGTTATTGGTCTATTGTTTATTTATTGTTCGGCTGTTAATTATGTTTTATTCTTTCGTTAGTCTGAAAATTTACTTTTTTGTTTGTTTATTCATTTTATAATTTGTTTTTTGGTTCATTTGTTTGTTCATTTCTTGGACAGCCTGACTACAATGTGTTCGGAGGTTCCATTTGCCCGTCACTCTTGTCAGGTTTTGTGGCTCACAACGAAAACAATTCACTTGAAAGCATTCGATCGGAGGTTTGTTTGTACGTTTTGTATGTTTTTCTTTGTACGTTTGTTAGTCTTTGTATGTTTATCTTTGTATGTTTGTCTTTGTATGTATTTTTTGTATGTTTATTTGTTTTTGTATGTTTGTCTTTGTATGTTCTTCTTTGTATATTTTTCGTTGTATGTTTATTCGTCTTTTATGGATGTTTGAATTTGTCTATGGAGTGATTTAAAATAATATGGTTGGTGGTGCTATGTTCGCGTTGATGTGTTTGTTTGTTTGTTTGTCTGTTTGTTTGTTTGTTTGTCTGTTTGTCTGTTTGTCTGTTTGTCTGTTTGTTTGTTTGTCTGTTTGTCTGTTTGTTTGTTTGTACTGTGTATTCCGGTTCCACGTGTCGTTTCTAAATTGAGTTGTTAAAAAAATAATCAGGTTTTTTATCCTTTTTATTTAAAAAAAGTTGAGTACAATTTACATAAAAATTTTTTTATGTAAATTGTAATTTATTCATAATTAAATTTGTTTTTTTTTGAATTTACAATATTCATAAATTTTGTCTTAAAAGATAAATATGTAATAATTAATTTTAAGATAGATATATATCAAATTCAACAATTAATTTTAAAAGATAGATCTATATCAAATATTTGTAAAATAACAAATATTTTTAAAAGATAAAATATTGATCTGAAATGGTGGCACCGATGAGTGTTGTAGCTTCATTGGTCGGACAATGGAAGTTGAAGCAGGCTGATTTATGCCCAAAAACAATTTATAATTTGACTTGCGCTGCTAAATAAAACACCATTCCAGCTCATTTTAGAGTCTTGTTTTTTATAAATATGCCATGTCTGAAATTATATGTTCAGTTTTTGTTGGTTGTTTTGCTAGTTATTTCTGTGGCGATGAGTCATTCTATTTTTTTTGGTTTGCGTTTGAATACATTAAGTGTGAAGCAGTTTCTATATGTAGTAGTTGTTAAGCTTGGTTGCTTGGGTATTTATTGTTGTTTTTTAGTTGTGTTGTTCACGAATTTGTTTAGATGGCTTGCTGCTTACCTTGTTATCTACTCTGGCTGGTTATTTACGACATCATGTTTTTTTTAATATTGATGCAAACTTCTGTGACATTAAGTTCTGTTTTTGTCAAGTGGTTAGATAAGTTGTTGTCGTTTGATTGCAATGCCAAACATGTCATATTATTTCATTTCAGCAACAACTACATTAGTTTTCTATTTTCAGTATGTTTTTCAAAGGTTTTATTTTTTTTTATATTTTGATTAAAGTGTAAATAATAATTTTTGTAAAGTTATTAAATTCTTCCAACCATCAACACCTCATCTGCACTCAGGTCGAACATCTGAGGAGGCTTCTCGACCGGCGGAGAATAAAAATCTCAAAATCTGCAGAAAGGTCAGCACTGACTTTAAAACGCGATTTCATATAATGGTCCATTTTACTACTCCTACACCGGCTGTCAGCCATAGTTTGACTTTGACCCTGAACTGAGCGCATGAAAAAATTATAATTAAATATAATATAATAATAATAATTTTTATTAAAAGCCACACTTGAAAAGCGATCATATAAATTTATTGGACAAAAAACTATGACGATCTACAACAGCAATCATATAAATATGTTTGTGTGTGTGTGGGTGTGTGTGTGTGTGTGTGTGTGTGTGTGTGTGTGTGTGTGTGTGTGTGTGTGTGTGTGGTTAGGTGAAAGGTTTTTATACACAAAAATCATATAAAAACAAAATTTTGAGGTCTCGAATTTTTCATATAGAAACATTTTTTTTATTACATTGAATTTTTTTTTCAAATTAAAAAACCATATTATCAGCTTTTGCAAATGACAAGTTTACTAAATCTTTCAGCTTGGTACTTGCATCCGTAGATTTAAGCAGCTAAACTAAGTGCACTTCTGCTTTTTACAAAAGCGTTTTTCTACTCTCTTGCTTATCCAGGATTGTGAAATGTTCAACTGCCACTTTAACTCATTCCTTATTAAATTGCCAATTAGATCACAAAAAAACACAGAAACACTCAAAATTTTTAGCTACTTTGTATTCGAACGACGACAACAAATCAACAACAGAAACAATACATACATGGGCGTGTGTACAGCACACACACACGCACACAAACACACACACACACACATATATATATATATACATATACATTACATATAATATATATATATATATATATGTATATATGTATCACATAAAATACATTATAGCGTCTTGCGATAATATCAAATTCTTTATGCATTACCTTGTTATAGAGCATTCCACTCGGCCGACCATCCCATTACATCCGATGTGGCACTGGCAATATTTGTGATTTCTTCTTTAAAAAAATGTTTGAAATTATTTTCAAAACTATTACTATTACCTGCGGCAAACATTTCACCATTTTTATTGACCAACAAATTTTTTGAAGTGTAGCCTGCATAAATTTCAAGTGACGATTAAGAAATTTGTATTGTTATTTTTGCCATGGTAATAAAGTAAATATAACGAAAAACTTAATTTTAATGTAAAAAAAGTAGACAAATAAGCTTGGAAATGAAAAAAGATTATAAATTATGATGAAAAAATAAAATTTTTAATCTGTTCGGGTCGAATGCATTGAGAATGAAATATTTGGAATGGCATTTCTTGTCTCTGTTGCAATAAATAGCCTAAGACGATCTAATTACACAAAGTCAATCCATTTATTACTGAGAGAAACGAGCCATGGAATTTTGAATAAATTTAAGTTGGAATTATTGTGTAAGCCAATCTTTAAATGTTTTTTAAATCGCAGTTCAATTATTTAGAATCACCATTAAAAACTGAGGTTACACAAAACAAAATTCGACTTCCAATTGCAATAAAACAAACATTCTTAGAGCTAGTCGTTTCAGTTGTGGAGAAACATTGAGTTCAGTAGCAGTTTTTTTTATAGCCGTTTAACACTTGGACTGGTTTCTTCTTTGGTGGTTGTATCTTTACATTCAGCACCATAAATCTTTCAAAAACATACAAAGCCATCCCCTACCGGCATATTCTGAACAACCTATCGTCAGTTCTAAAATAAAATTTTCATTTTTATAATAATAATGTAATGTTAATAATATTATTTATATAACTATATTGTTGTTGCACTTGTACAATACTCCGTCAGTTATATGTCGTATTACGAGCTGTACAAAGAGTTTGATGCATTTGTGACTTCGTTGGATCCTTCAAACCCCTGGCTATCCGACAGCACTGAACTCTGGGAACAGGAAACTACACTGTGATGATCATTTTAATACCTTTTACGAATTAAAATTTTAATAAGTTATGTAACAAATCAGTCACTGAAATATGAATCCTGTAAATACATTTAATTATATATATATATATATATATATATATATATATATATATATATATATATAGTAAACAAACCCACTAGGAAAGAAATTCCCCACCGACAAGTGAATAGGTGGAGTTTTTCCATCCACGAGCTTTTGAAGGATTCTGCTGGCAGGGAACACTTTATGCAGTTCCTTGAGAAAGAATTCAGTGCCGAAAATTTGAAGTGTGTGTGTGCGCGCGCGTGTATGTTTTTCTGTGTGCGTGGGTTGTTTTTTAACTTTTAACAATCCATTTTACATTTTATTTCATTTATTTATTTTTGTCAACAGAATTTAAGTTTGTCCTGATTTCGCGTAACCATTGATTTACTACTCCTTCACTTTATATTCCAATAGTGGTTATTGAAACATTTGATTTCCACCTGCGTTATTTAACATGCTGCCAATTTTGTAAGCATTCTATAAATTGTTAATAAATCTTCACAAATTTCTTCCTTACTTTCGGTGATTGATGATTTGTATTTGTTTTGAAATAGTTATTTCAACGACATTCAATCAGATTCTGGGAGGCCTGCCAGCAAGTAAAAAAAGTTCCGCTGAGCTTAGTTGAGGAGACTGTCAGGGGCATTTACAAGTCAGTCCTTCTTGAATTCATTTATCCTACTCCAGAACATTTTTTAATTTTGTCATTTTTAATTTGCCATACAAACTTGCCAGTGCCCCTGTTTTAAAAAGATTCTGATATTATGCAGTAGTCACGTTGTTCGAACTTCTTGTTAAACGGAGTCGTCGATAAATGTTGTTGAACACGCCAACCTAATTGTTAGCTGCACTTTGACCTGACGTGTTATTAAGACAAAATTTTTGGTATACTCTCATAAAGGTCTGCAAAAGAGACAAGACATGTCGCCAGTCGCAACTTCAACCGATTGGGATTCCAAACTAGAAATTAAGCGACTAACATTATTGCTCGGTTGTTCATTTTAAAATTTATTGATTGACGCTTATTTTGTATTAGGAAGGTGATACAATTCATTTTAAAACTCCGTTTTCTCTATTTTCAACAAAATTATACTCTTAAAAGCACTTTCAGTGTTGGCTTGCAAGAATAAGAAACTTGGTTATCTCTTTCTAAATTACATTCTTAGTGTAACTTTCCGTCAGCCCGAAGCGACAAATGTTGATGGCTGTGTCCTGTTTATTTCATCACGCGCGTCGGATGAATGTCCACGATGCAATAAAGTCCATCATTTTGTGTCTTCAATTAAATTGCGTCCACACTCTCTAACCCACAACCTTCATTACTACAACAACACTGATGACAACCGTGTGATGAGGATGATGATGGTGATTATGGTGGTGAAATGATGATGATGTTGGTGATGACTGCTAATTGCAATGATGAAGAAATACAAGAAAGTTCACGGTGAATCGCAAGATGATTAGTAATGCAATAACAAGGAACGCCCACTGATTGAGCATTGTTCATTTTACGCTTGATTAACTTTATAACAAAAACTTGCATTTTGCAAACGTGTTTTTAACGTTTTATAACATCAGAACCTTATAACAAGCAAACAAAATTTCGAAAATTTTCAGACATTTTTGTTAAATCTACACTAACAATATCCACAACATTCACATCATTCAACATTCACCATTCACAACATTCTCAACATTCACAACATCTGCAAAATTCAAATCATTCAACATCCCCAACATTCACAACATTCTACATTCACATCATCCAAAATTCATAACATTCAACATTCAAACTTTCAACATTCACAACATTAATAATTCACAGTTTTTATCAGTCACGGCTTTTAGCATTTAGCTTTGTTACTGTCCACAAGTATGGAATGATGATTAATATTACAGTTTAAATCAAATTTAACGTTTAAATGTCATACAAAAAATTGTTCTATGTATAATTTGGATCGCCTGAATGAAAGCAAAGCAGTTGGACGTGATTTATTTCAGCCAGATGATACCAGCGCGATAAAATTGTAATTGGATGAAAGAAATTTATGACTGCAGAAATGAAACGATCCATTGCCGATTTAATGCTCTCTGGTCCTTGGGCATTTTAAATTTCGTGCAATTTTATTATAATTATTCTGCTTGCTTTCTGGACTTTGTGCTATTTCTTGTTAAAAAAGGCAGATCGATTTGTTTTTTTTTGCACAGCTAAAACTTGCTTATTATTTCAGAAAATGTTGTTTTACAAAAATGTTCATTGACTGTATATATAAAATTTTAATTGTTTGATTTGTTTTAGTTAATTAAAGATATTACTTTTAAATTTATGGGTGGAAATCCCCATTACAACTGGAATCTCTATTTTTACCGTTTTTTACCATGCCTAAAATTTTGTTTGCTTTCTTGGCTACCTCGGTGCCACCCAACCTTCCATTTTGCAAATGATCACATCTAGATTATGTTCACCCACTGAGTTCTTAAGTTCTCTATTGCCAAGCTCCAATATGCTTTTATAGTGTTATAAAATGATTATAGCTTTCAATAAAATTATTTACAGCAACAAACAACATTCGAAACTCACAAATCAGTTCTCAACACTCCACACTCGTCATTCAGCGAATTCCTAGCACCAGGAGCTATAGATCCGGTCAATGTTGATAGCCACGTAGCTGATATAGTGAAACAACGAATCGAGCAAAAAATAGATCGATACTGTTTGGATGTGGCAGAGGTTGGTAGCTGTCTGAGTTAAAAATCTGTGTTGTTGTTTGTTGTTGTTAAACATCTCTGCTGCTTATGCTTTAATGATGTTTATTTACTTATTAACGATGTTTATTTACTTATGGCATGTTTGTTGTCTTTGCTGGGTTATCCTCGTTCGTTGCGCCACCCACGTTCAATAGGAGCACATCTACAAGTTGATGAAGAACGACAGTTATAATCGATACGCAAGATCGGACATGTACAAGGAGCTGATGACCAGAGCCAAGAAAAAAGTTTGTGGGGATGAATGAGTGCATCTTTATTCACGAACTAAATTCATACGCACGCATTAATACTTATAAGCAACGATATTTATTCATTCATTTCTCTATAAAATAAGCGAGTTTATATAATTGTTAAGTTGAACACTTTATTTATTTGTTCATTTTTTTTGTATGTATTTTAAACGTAACAATTTTCATCATAATTTAGTACACACACACTCGTAGTGCCACCAATACGAGAAACAAGAAAAATGATCGCCTTTAAATGAACAGATTGGAACAAAAAAATCGAACAGAATGAATGAGATGCAGGCTAAAAGGAAAAAATATAGATTGCGACTGCTAATAAGCAGAAACATGAAGGAATAGATGAATTAAACGAATAACTCATAAACTATTGAACAAAGAAAAATGAATTGTTATAATTAATTTACACATAGAATCTTCAAATGAAGCACGTGTAGGTGAGCGTTCTACGGAGATTTATAATAAGTCCCAGAGGCGATCAGAAGTGAGAAAAACCGGATTAATAAACGAATTTGGGCGAGGTTTGGGATAACAAAAATCATCAGAGTTTTTTTCAGAACTATAAAACGTTGATTAATTAAATGGTTGAATTGTTGACGCAACGAAGGACAATAACCTAAAGAAAACAATTTATGAAAAAAAGTTCAGACTACAGAAAAATTTGTAATTTATAAATTTATAAAATATAGAAAGAAGAATAAAAATGACTAACAAGGTGAAATCTGTTCAAACTGAACAACATGCGGATGAAAAAGACTTGACAAAGATTTAAAATATGAACGTTTGATGTGCTAAAACCCCGAATAGAAATACAAGTTAAAAACAATAGAATTATGTAATGTTTTTAAAATATGTATAAGAAATTTTGATATAAATCGGTATATTAAGCCCATTTTTTGTAATTTCATGTGAAATGGATTAAATATGATTGGACCAGGATAAGTTACAAGAAATAATAACATCAAAATATTTAGTAGATAGAAGTCTTTGTCGGAAGCACTATTCAACAAAAAAATGAATGCCAACAGTACCGACTCGAAGTTTCGATACAAATTAAATATTTTGTGAGTTTTGTTATTATTCATTCTTAGATTATTAGCTTGAACCCAGTTATAAACATTAGACATTTCCTTACTAAAAATTGATGAACATTAGAATTAGATAATAACAGGGTAGAATCATCAGCAAAGAGAATAAATTTCAGGATTTTAGAAGAATTAATAAATTCATTATCAAAAATATTTAAGTTTAAATAGAACCTTAAGGAATACCAAGAGTAGTCATGAGGATGGGAAGAGCTTTAGAATTATTAATTTGAACATATTGCTGTTGTTATCATCATCATTATTTTAGAGGTCTGGGCGTATACCTATTCATTGTGATAACCACGATATTTTTCACATTAGTTTGGTACGTCATTTTGAAGCTTCCAATCCAAGAAAGCTGCTTCTGACTGATTGATTAACTTCGATTCATGCCATCTTGGACGAGTGCAGCTGCAAATTGTTCGCCTAACAACATTGGCACATCAACCTATTGAACTTTATTGAGTTTTCAGGCAGATTGCCAACCAAATATTCGTGGAAATGTTTCTGTTGGCTTGACAAATTGCATAAAAATCAACAGAGGCTCACCAAGCCAGAGAAGGGACAAGATGAGATTTATTAAAAAATGACTGAATAATTGCTTTCACAGCATCTGTGCAATACATCATCCATCCATGCATTCATTTATTTTTTAATTAAATTGATTTTCAGAGCAAAAAGCGATTCACTAGTGAGATGAAAAAAATACGAGAGCTTACTGGCAAGACGGCAGCTACGACGACCACCAGCAACTCTTCCAACAGCGCTAACAACAACGCAACCAACAACAACACAACCAACAACAACACAAACACCATAACGAACAACTTAAACGACAGTACAAACAACAACGTTACTAACAAAACCAGCAACAACACTAACAACAACACTGAAACCCACAATGTTCGGTCAACATCGTCGACAACCCTCACAACTTTGAACCTCTAATTTTTTCTATTTTCAGTAAAAAAAATGATATCTGGCGATCACAACTCTCATAATAATTTCTTCCACAAACAATTCTCCGCGGTCTTAAGAAATTTTTGGATTTTATTTTTCATTGCGAAATATTAAATAGCAAGTCGAATTTGAATTAATTTCCTTCTCATGACGATGATGCAGTAAAAACGTGAAAGATCTAACACGGTGAAGAGGTTGTCGTTGAAATGAAGTGATGCACTCCATCATTGTGTTAATCCGCAACAACTACATCTTCCAACGATTACAATACAACGTTGTCATTCAACAAGGTTTCCATTCAACAGCACCTTCGTTTAATGATATTGTTCATAATTTTGGTGGCTCTTTAACCCATGAACAAATGTAGAAATTATTTTACACCACATGTTTAAGCCACGTCGACACGTTATAGAACCATTTTGGGAGCTGCAATGTCGTAAAATGCAAAAAAAATATTAAACCACATCTACAGGAATAGATGGAGGTTAACCTGTTAACTAGTTCAAGTTCTTCTTTAACGCAGAAAAATAAAAAGCGGTTGTGGTGAGTTGGTGATGGAAAATCATTTCGTATGCTACCACGAAGGACGATCTTGGACGTTATTTTCATTGAAAACGCAGATGCCATGGAGTAATAAGAAATTTTCTCTAATGTACCAAACATCCGAGTGTTGTCACACATACTCAACATGCATGGAACGTGTACGTGCATTCTTCCTCCCACGCACTTCATTCTTCATAACTGCGTAAGCGCGTCAATTTGAGCAACCAACTACTATAACGTCATAGTAAGATGTCAAAGGATGTGATCGTTGATATAACTTAACCGTTTATACAGATTGTTACCTCAAATTTATAGACAGATCGCCGATGTTTTGACTTGTATCTTAATACACGTACGTACACGGGTTTATCTATCGACGAACCTAAAAAAATACAAAACTGATTAATGAAATGTAATATATAAATATATAAATGTATATATATATGTGTGTGTGTTTGTGTGTGTGTGAAAGAGTGTATTGTAAGTGTGCGTGTGTATTTTGTGTATATACCAATCTAGAATTGCAAGTGAGGCAAATACAGCTTTCAACACGGTTCTGTAGTGTAGTGGTTATCACGTTCGAAAGGTCCTGGGTTTAAAATGGAATTAAAATGGAGTTAAAGGGGTTTAAACCCAGGAGAACTATTATTATTATTATTATATTAGAGAATACATATGCATTATATATATATATATATATATATATATGTGTGTGTGTGTGTGTGTGTATGTGTGTGTGTATACAATACACATTAAATGGAATAAGCTGAACGGAGATGCTATGGATGACTTTTATTTAAGATTTTGTCGTGCGTATTTGTCGTTGTTAAGTTATGTACGTGACATCACTATTGGGTGATAACATTAACCAACTTGAAATTTATGCAATTTATGAAATATTATTTTTTTTATTTAGTATTCAAGACAAACTGATATAAATTGAAGAGTTTGATAACTATTTAAATCACTCATCGGAAAATTCAAAAATTTGTGTTGTTCAATTGAAAGTAATATTTAATCGGCGATCAAGCGGCCTGTGTATGTGGCACAACCCTACACGCTCCAGGCCCAACCATTTTTGTTGCACGCTCCTGAACCCTCTGCAATTTTTTTGTTTGACAACAGCAGCGACACCTTTTCCAGAATACATCTGAGTTCACTACAGAAAAGGGCAGGAATAGGTTACGACCCGGGTGTATGTAGGGCTATCAAACCAAGTTCGCTTTTGTTCTATTATGAAAACGGAACTGAACCGTAACCGAAAACCGTTAATAACCGAAATTTTGCTTGGAACAAAAACCGTAACCGAACCGAAATATTGTTTGCTAGTTTAACCGAAATCGAAAACCGTAACGAAATAAATAACGGCTCTAAGCTAAAAATTAAAAAAAAAATTTTTGTCGAATTAAGAAAAAAATATTTAGACAATGTTTCGTCTTTTAAAATTCTATGTTAATTTTTATTATCTTTGAAAATTTGTTCTCTCTTTTCGTTTGTTTTTCCGAATGAGTTCGCCGATAATTTGAGTAAGAATTGCCACGTGAAGAGAAATCCAGTATAATCAGAGAAATTAGAGATCAAGTGTGATCATCTTCAAAATTTTGAAGTACCAGCTACACAAAGTGAGTCTGGAACATCTGTTTCTGGATTAAAATTTATTTTCAGAGACTGCAGAAGTGGTTTCAATGAAAACATTTTAGAAGATATATTAGTAATCAGAGGAATTTTTCATCTTTTGTGAAACAATCTTATATTTATATTAGTGATTTCAAAATATCTTTGTATTGTTTTAATTTGTTGAAAAAATATTAGAAACGTTTCCTTTTATGCTGACAACATATAAAAATCATTTTTGTTTTCTTATCATTCGCAATCTAAAATTTAATTCAAATTGGTATTGTGGTGATAGTTGGATGTCCGCTACATGCATTTAAGGATCTATGCTTGAAAAAAATGAGTTTCGGAGCAAAACCGAAAACCAAAAAAACCGATATTATTTCAGGAACGAAAACCGGAACCAAAATTCATTTTTGCTGATTGAACCCGAACCGAAACTAAAAAAATTACGGTTCGATGCCCTGATTATGATTTAATTGCTGTTACATCAAATATGGCCATGGCCAGCGTGAACAATGTAAATATTTCTAATTTTTTCAGAAATTCAACTCACTAATTTCAATCAATCTGTTTTTGACATGAACTAAAAAACAAAAATGATATTCGCCGACGAATAATTTTAATTTATGAAAGATTAGTAGATTTCGATTAGTGGTTCATGGCGGAGGAGCTCCCGCTACCTTCCCATGCCACATAGCGCCCAACCGTGATCAGTGGATGAAGACAACCGAAAACTACTACGAATAGATAGATGTCCACCGATATTGACTGTTATATACACGTATATTTGAAGGTTCAAAACACAAATCTAGCTTATATTTATCAATTAAATAAGCATTTTTATCCACAAACTTAGGCACATGTATGGCTTAGCATCTTTTTTCCTTTTAAAATAAAAATTAAACAAACTGAATTGAATTATAAAATCTAATAAGAAATAAAATGACCACTGCGGAAATGCTGCTACGCAAACTAATTAACTACTTTATTTTATAGCTTCCGGCTTCGTACACTCATTCATTCCAACAGAAGGCTGAGTCTGGACGATACAGAAGCAGATAATACAGAGGTCGTCCTGTTTCTGATTAATGTGATCGACTGATAATAAAATATTTCATTTTTAAGAAATTATTTTTGCCTGAGCAACAAATTCTGTAAAAACATCTAATATCGATTTTCACTAAGAAAAAAAAACCAAACAAAAAAACAAATCAAAACAATTCTAAATTATTAGACAGCAATTGTAGCCTACTGACCAATAAAGAATTTCCAATAAAAACCGTCAATAAAATTTCAGATGAACTGAGAGCAGAACGTATTGCATGTAGTAAACCTAATTTGCCAACATGAAGGCATCAGTTGATGGTTGGTCACATTGTTGCATCCAAGTTACACAAACATCCCACTCAATCCTTTGTACATTCGGAGATCAAGTCAATCTCATTCATAACTAGCGGATTTATTTATAAATGCAACATATTAGCAATAGAATAAATATAATATGTATATAAACAAATTAATAAAAATTAATATAAATTTTTACACGCACACACACGTATATATACACACATACATATGTATATAAATAATGCAAGAAAAATACAGAAATAACGAAAGTTAAAAAGAGGCTGGCCATGAAGGTTGATCATTCCCAGGAGACTGATGAAAATAATGAACATTGTAAATGCCCGATGACAACGTACAAGAAGGCGGCCACAACCTTCCGAGACTCAGTATGATTGAGCAAGCATTGCGTAAATTTGTGACCTCATTGCTACTGCTTACATGGATAAGTTTTAACTTTGAGTTAAAAAAAATGCTTTTTTTAATCATTTAACTAATTTAAATCGGTTTAACATTTCTCATGTCATTGTAACGACTCGTTCGAGTGAACTCCTGAAATGTTTCCAACTGCTTCTTACTAATCATCCACTTGATTTGTGAGCATTTTCGATTCAATTTTACCTCCTCATTCACGACGCCTACTGTTTAAAATAAAATGTAGACAATAACGAAATTAACGCGTCGCAAAGATTAATGAAGAAGTAAAAAAAGCTGAATAAGTTCCATAAGTAACGTAGCCGTTCGTTAGAACGATCAAATGGAGTAGGTAGGTCTCCGCTGCCAACTATAAATGAGCAGAAATATTTGAACCATCATCATCAAAGTCTTCATCGTTTAAATCTATTTAATATTAAATATATCAGCAACAAAAACGAAGACAACAAGACCGGCTGTGCAATGATGATAATATCTATGACACAATATGATACAATACGCAAACCAGATACATCTTATGTACACCGCGCTATACTATATGACAATCAAATACTTCCTATCCTATGTACATCGTAAACAGTTTGAGAAAAAATGTGAACCGGTGGTGAGTAAGGATGTCGGTGCTGATGATGATATCGGTGGGGAGGATGTTGATGGTCGGTGGAGAGGATGTTGATGGTCGGTGGAGAGGATGTTGGTGGTCGGTGGAGAGGATGTTGATGGTCGGTGGAGAGGATGTTGGTGGTCGGTGGAGAGGATGTTGATGGCGATGGTCAGAGTGGTGATGACAAGAAAAATGAAAAATAAAAAATGTAATACTGGCGATGGAATGAAACGAAATATGAATGATTAACGGAGAAAGATCGATCGAATCAAGAGGAGAATGATGTGAGGGGTTTAGTCTTGGCGAGGAGTTGCAAGATGTGAGGTAAGTCATCCAACATGCGGCGGTAGCTGGAAGGGACATCAGCCACCTTGCAAAAGGTGAGCGTGCTACCTGACTTCAGCTTGAAAGTGTAGCTGTCCGCCTGCGAGTCCAACAGGATGCACGTCTCGTCCAACCGCTCGATCACGAAGAAGCCACGTGGGTACTGTAGGGCGGTTGTGAGGGACTCGTCACGATGGTGATGACGACGATGACGATGGTGATGTGATGATGACGATGATGATTATGATGCGATGATGATGGGGCTACAATGTTCGAAAAATGAATAACATCATAAGGGCAAAGCAGCATGAAATGACTGCCTCCTATGGTGGCGAGTTTATATTTCTTAAAAATTTCAAAGCGAATTTGAAACTAGCCTGAAACATTGAGTGGCACATGAATAAAGCATTGAGAAACATAACCAAATAAGCAATCAATTAAATAACTAACAAATTTTGCTTATAATAACATACACGATAATAGCATAAAATTACAGATAACTTTCTAAACATTGAGAAATTAACAGAAATCACCCTGTTCATTAAAGCGCCGAGTTAAAACTGCAATCAAAACAAAACAACAATAAAAACGAAAGACCAACGACAACACCAACAAAAATAACTACAGAGCATAATCGACAACAACAACAACAGCAGTCGAACCTCGTAAACATTGCCAACATCTGGCAGGGAGAGATATTTGATGTGAGGTTGTTTTTGGCAGTCGAACGTCGTCGACGGCCTGTTGGAAGCATCGGCGCTCGCGAGCGAGTCACTTTTGAATGTGTCGACGCTGGTGCACGTGCGACCGCAGAAAGTTGGAGTCGATGTGGCGGTTACATTGGAACTGCTGTACGATCTAATCTGCATCAATTAGTTACTAATTATTAAATGTCATGAAGATCCGACACGACATCTCATCAACGAAAAGAAATAAGTAAATTATAAGAAGCAGAAAAAAATTCAACTGAAAAGGTGTTTACACTGAAAGGAGACAGTGTGGTCTCGTTGTTGATGCTGGCGTGCGAGTTTGATCTGCCGCAGTTCTTTTTGCTGGCTGCACTTGTCGAAGAGGACGCGATCGTTACTCCTGTCGGCTGTCTGATTTCGTAAGTTCTAATTAGTAGCACTACGACGCAATAGAAGACTAGATTAGTGATGTTGAAAACATCTGATACCCAAAACAGATGGAAAGAAACAAAGTGAGAATTAACGAGAGAAGAGGATAGATTCAATAAAATCTATTTGAACCAAAATGAAAAAGATTTAATTTGATTCAGTCAGTAGCGTTCCTGCTTGTTGTCAATTGCCTACTTCGCAACAAATTCAAAATATAAAAAGTGATAATGAAAAGTGACCTTCCTAAGAAGCAAGGGAAGGGCGATGAAGATGAGAGTTTGGGGTTGGATACTAAGAGCAACTCGACCAGGGCGCGACACGTCTTGTACACCTGGCGAATGTTGGTGATGTTGATGGTGTTGTGCGTGTGCCGTGTTAATTCATTGCTTCATTAGCTGACATCCTTCACGAATGTGCAAGCCAGTGAACAACACACACACACACCATACACACACAAACACCAACCGGATACAAAAATGAATGAACAAACCTCAATAACATGGTTCCATCTATCTTGTGTGTCTGGCAGCATCTGACTGATGCTGGCTGACACATCCAAGGTCGTCGTCCTGTCATCGCTTTCAGTGATCGTCATCTTCGACTGCAACTGAGTGAAGGTCACACCGTCGTAGAAATTAGCCACGAACCTATTGTTCTCCATTAGCATGCATTTCGCCTTATCCGTATAATAGATGACTGTTGGAGTCACCGACCGTACCGTGTTGACAAATTGGCTGGCGTACTTATAAATATTCCAAAGATTTTTGGGAAGCTGGTTGAAAGTGTACACCTCACATGGCACATTCGGCACTGGCGATGCCAAGTTGACGACTGGCTTGTCGGGACGCAACAACATCTCCTCACCGCTCTTGCAGGCGAAATATTTTATCTGCAGTAGTTGATAATACGTTGAAATTAATTGTATAGGCCATACTTGGATAAGCCGAACAATATTTTTAAAACCGATGCTAAGCTTAAATACTATTCTTTAATAGGTTTAAGCTAAATGGGATGGTGAAGAGATTGTGTAAGAAAAAGAAGAGGGATGATGAAGTGATTTTGTAAGGAAAGGAAGAGGGATGATAAAGTGATTTTGTAAGGAAAGGAAGAGGGATGATAAAGTGATTTTGTAAGGAAAGGAAGAGGGATGATAAAGTGATTTTGTAAGGAAAGGAAGAGGGATGATAAAGTGATTTTGTAAGGAAAGGAAGAGGGATGATAAAGTGATTTTGTAAGGAAAGGAAGAGGGATGATAAAGTGATTTTGTAAGGAAAGGAAGAGGGATGATAAAGTGATTTTGTAAGGAAAGGAAGAGGGATGATAAAGTGATTTTGTAAGGAAAGGAAGAGGGATGATAAAGTGATTTTGTAAGGAAAGGAAGAGGGATGATAAAGTGATTTTGTAAGGAAAGGAAGAGGGATGATAAAGTGATTTTGTAAGGAAAGGAAGAGGGATGATAAAGTGATTTTGTAAGGAAAGGAAGAGGGATGGTGAAGGGAGGAGATGACGAGTGAGATAAACTAACAGAGGAGGGTTCATTTTTAATCTGATTAGAGATAGTGAAGATAAGAAGTGAGTTGAGAATAAAAAAGATGTCAGCTGAATAATACCCAGCGACCAGTACGGGATGACGGTGATGACCGACATCATAGCATGACACAAAATTTATTAAATGATACAAAATTTATTAAAAATTCAATTGACCAATCAAAGAAGAACGAATGGACCAACCTGCTGACCATCTCCAGATATAAACGTCACACTGGTCACGTACATGTTGCTAGCAAACATCTGTGTGAACTCAATGACGACCCAACCTTCCTTTGTTATGGTCAACTGCAATATCATAGCAACACAACGTTCTATTCTTCACTAAATTAGCATATTTCATTGATTATAATATAATGTCTTTTGAGCCATTATTTCAAATAGAAATAAATAGAAAATTTATATAAAGAAATTTATAAAAAGGATTTATTAAAAATGAATCCTCGGAAAGTTGGAGATTGAGGGATTGATGAGTGGAATAATAATATAGGATGAGTGAAAGAATGAATGGATGGATGGATAGATGAATGAATAGATTATCTGAGACTGTGCCTATCAGGAAGTAGTGGTGGTGGTGGTAATGGTTTTCCTGCCGTTTATGATGAATCTTCCAAAAATAGGAATTATTTTAAAGTTGGGTGAATAAATAAAGAAGAGGGGAATTGAATGAATCAGCTTCAAACGTTGTTTCAAGAAAGAAAAATATCATAATTGCTAAAGCATTGAACACATTTGCAGATTATCATTTAAAACTTCTTCAGACATAACCATACATTTTCGAAGCAGCAGAGTGAAAAACAATGGAAATGAAAAAACAGAACAAACCATAGTTTTGTGTGTTTTTTTCCTCGTGGCTAAGAGTCTGAGCGTGGAGAGGGGAGGTCCAAAGTTAGCCGTCTTCTTCTTGTGTTGCTTGACAGATCTTGAAGAAGATGCTTCTTGTTGCAGCTGTATCGATATCGGCCGATTAAGAACGTTGACAGGAGTTGAATGGCTGAAGAAGTTGGAACGATTGTCTGCGCCGTCTTCAAGCAGACGAGATGTCGAAGAAGCGTGTTTGTCGAGATTGCTTGGAATATTAAACACGTTGTTGTAATTGGTAAGTTGTTGAGAGCTAGAAACATCATCGTGACGTTTTGTACACTGGTCGTACGATCTGCTTCTTGGTTTGTGGTTGGTGTGGTTCAGGTAGGATGGCGGTGGTTTGGTGGATTTCTTCCTCCATTTATTCTTTGATAAACTCTCCCCACAAGTGGGAATGTTAGAGTGGGAGTCATAATTGAAACCCTGCAGTTGTTGAACTATCGTTGTTGTTGTTGTTGTGCTCGATGAACAATCAACACCATCATCGCTTGATAGCTTGGAGGCAGAGCTGCTGTTGTTATTCAACTTTTTTGTTTTTGAATGTTTGTTAGTTTGGCTGATGGATGATGAAGTCTGCAAACCCCCCTTGCCACTGTCAGTTGATGCATGCGAACCAGACACCTGTTTCAATTCGAATTAAAATTTAAAAAAAACTACTTTTAAATTCTTTTGCAAGTTTAACAAAACGAGATGCAAGAAAAGAATAAAATAATCTGGAAAAGGTGAATAGAACAGATTATGTGGGTATATAATAAAACAAAAAAGCGCGTTTTATGTAGCCCAAAAGTATTGACATGATATAGTTTAATGGTTAAGAAAGATTAATTCTTGCCTTTCTTTACAGCTTAATTTGAAGAATTTAATCAGAAAGCAAGAGGTCAGAAGTATTTTTGGCAAAAAGCGGGCAACTAAATTGGTGAAGGATGCCGAGGTCTCAAATATGGGGATCGTTTAAGATACTTAGATCTTCCGACTCTAAAGTATCGCCGATTGCGGGGAGATCTGGAAACGGTCTTCAAGCTAACTCGCGATGCGAAGATGTCGTCTTGTTATCCTAACTTGGTCAAAGCAAGAGATGATAGAACAAGAGGTCATCAATACAAGCTCTCAACTCAAAAACTTAACAAGAACCTATGGAAGCACTTTTTGTAATAGTGGTTGATATTTGGAATGGTTTGAATATTGAAGTGGTAAGTGATTGTGATGATGTCCATATTAAAAAAAGTTAGACACTTGTTTAAAAGATTATAAGATATTCCATGTAAATTTGACTAGCGGCTCTTTTTTGAACTTTTTCAATTATATGGATGAGGTTCATGTGATATGGGTTCCAAACCTGAACTGCATACCCCAGATGTGGTCTGACCAAGCTCTTATACAAATGTAAGTAAGCTTCTTCATCAATAAATCTAAAATGTCAGTTTATAACGCCCATCATTGAGTTAGCTAGCTTTACTTTACTTTACTATATATATATATGATCTTTGAAGGCGAGTTTATCATCAACAAACACACCTAAATTTTTCATTACTTTGACTACTTGGATAACTTGTCTGGCCTAGGTAGAATCCCACATTTCATAAATATTATTGTATTGTTTTTTTCCAAGCTTTAACTAACAACACTTATCGACATTCGGAGTCATACGCCAGGCACTGAACCAATTTTGCATGCTAGAGTCATTTAATTGCTTGGACATCAAATCATCTGGATTTTGATAATTTTAAACATCTTTGCATCATCTGCAAAAAGATATACATCCTCACATACTGAAGGGAGATCGTTGATATAAATTGTAAACAGTAGAGATCCCAAGATGCTACCTTGAGGAACTCCACAAGTGGCATCAAACTTAAACTTAAACATCAAACTTGCATCACCTACTTGCACCCTGAAATTTCTTTCCTTCTGCATGCATATATAATTTAATTTCTATGAACATTTGTTTTCATGCATATATAAATATGTCATCTATATGGTCAAAGGTTTGGGTATATGTGCACATTAATATTAAGTAATTTACCTAAATATTGCATTATATAGTTGCATTTCCGGCGATGTTTGTACGTTATTATATGCTTCGTATGTACACATTTTACTTAATATCATATATTGTATGGTTGGTTAAATATATTGGTTTTTTCTCTTGTTGGAGGCATAGGAACGTTCAGTTCGCGCCCTTTAATAATAAACTATTATTATTATTAATTATTATTATTATTGAACTTTTCACTTAAAGATGAATTTATTATGATGATGATAACAAAATCCAACTACTACAAAGATATTTTAACAGACTTGAATGTAATAATAGAGATAAATGGAAAACAAACTAAAAACTCCCTTAAGAATAAAAAATTAAATTAAATGATTTCACGTTAATAAAAGAAATTGCTGATATTTTTAATGATTATTATTTTATTGATCTGTTTAGCAAAAATTCACCTACAAATATTAATTTATTTACGTTTCTTTTAGGTAGGTATGAAACAGTGCATCAAGTGCTCGCATGCAATTGGCATAGACATGTAGAAGACAGGTGCACGGAAGCAAACAATAGTACGTCTGACAGCTTACTGGCACCCCTAGGACGTGCCGTCCCGTACTGCAGGGGCAACACACCAGAAAAACTGTCTGAAATCTGAAATCGTTCTCCAAGAGGTCACTTCATACAGGCTGTGAAAGGTATACGTTATTGCAAGAGCTGCAATTAGCAAATTGCTTATAGTGTTGGCTCCGGATTTTCAGGATTGTGAAGTAATAAAATGTGCCATACCAGTGATTTAAAGACGAAGCAGCTTCAGCTACACAGCAAACATTCACATAGGTAATTCTCTAATTGAAAGAGTTGATTAAAAACAGCAAAATCCTTGATCACTCAGCAGAGATTTCCAGCTATTAACATCCTTCAAAATGCAATGAGAGCATTACTAACTAATCTAAGAAGAGATGCTATCAAAGAAAAGCTTTTTTATGTAAACTAAACCACGCATAAAACTCAATAAAACAATAAAGCCTGGTTGAAAACTAAACTATGTGGTAATGTGATATTTATTAATTGTATACATGTATATGTATGTATATGTACATGTATACACATGCATGTAAGACATACATACATATGTACCCATGTATGTGTGTGTGTGTTGTGTATGTGTTGTGTATGTGTTTGTGTGTGTACGGCAAGTTTGCCCGTCTCATCATAAAACAATCAAAACCTTTTTAGTGTGAAGGGTCACAATTTGAGTTTTCATGAAAGGATGCTCCAGAATTTCTGTAAAAATTAGAAGTTTATTTCTTGACTAATGTTAAATTATCATAGCAACACATTCTTGCTACAAACATGACAAAACATCTACAGCAAAAAACAAACCAGAAATGTTCGACTAAATAAGCTTATTTAAATACTGATCTCATCTACTATATATATATATATATATATATATATATATATATATATATATTTATCTTATTTATATACATACATACAGGCGTGTGCTAGTATCTGTGATGCATTGTTGTAATTCTTCAGTTTGAACAACAACAAATTGCACTTTGCAACACACGAACAAGTTAACAACAGAAAACTAAAAAAAAAACAAACAACTAACGACTCAGCTTGCAACGATTGTTAGGATGTTTTTGCAGCAGAGCTCGGATGAGAGAGGCAGCTTGTGTAGATACTGAGAAGGGAATGAAGAGATCCGCGCAAATGACCTTGTTGAGAGTCTTCGGTACATCATTGGCATCGAACGGAGGGGTACCTACCAACATTGTGTAAAACAAGCAGCCCAATGACCACACATCTGCTTCCAGTCCATGAGCCGATTTCAAAGCTACCTCACTGTTCGCATATGGGGATTATCAATTTTGTAACATAAATATTATAACTACGATGAAAAGCAGAACTGATTATTTGGACCACATCAGGACTCGCTCAAAATAGCTGGCAGTTGAAATTTTTAAATATGTAACGTTGTTAATGCAACAGAGGTAATCATTTACGACTCAGTAGGGTGGGTCAAAAGACGGTTTAACAAATACACCATTGATACTCAATCAATCAATCAATCCTCGTTTATAGTCTCCATCCGTTATGGGTCGGACTTTCTTATTCCATTCGTCATTCAATGTAATACTCCATTTCATTCATTAAATAATAATAGCATGGAAATAACATTGTAATACATTCCAAAAAAACAAAAATAGATTAATTTAAAAAACTCGTCCAGGAGTATCTAATCTACAATCTGCATGCACCTTTTCCTCTTCTACAAACATTAACAAATTAATCGGGTTTGACAACCTATAATTTACTCTAACTCAAGAATCCATTTTGTGTGAACAAGTTACGTTTTTTTCTTGCCTAATCATTTTTCAAATTTATCCAAATAAAGATCTCTGATAAAATCGGATTCAATAGCCAGTGAGAAAGGATTTTCATGCATGGACGATGATGTTGTGAGCGATGATACTCAGAAGGGTGATGTTGATCGTGTATGTTAATAAGAAAGAACTAACGGTGAGATGTAGTTGGGAGTGCCACACATGGTGTAATGTTTTTCGTTGAGATCATCTAGCTGAACTGCTAACCCAAAATCTGCTATTTTCTTTATAAAAATTCAAATCCAAAGTCTCAACAAATTAATAAAATACCACAATGATCCAAAGCATAGATTTGCTTATATGCAACATAATAAATAATATAACCTATAATTAAGTTTATTAAATAAATTGTAGCATGGAAATATTTTGAAGTTCAAATAAAGCAGAAACTAATCAAATAAAAAAAAAATTAAGTCAAGCAAATCAAACAAAATGAATACGAACGATGGAAAATTCCTTATCGAGAAGCAGATTAGAAAGCGTCAGGTCTCTGTGGACGATCCTGTGCTTCTCCAGGTAGAGCATGGCGGTCACTATTTGCTGCATGAACTGACGCACTGTGCAGTCGTGTTAACAGTTCTTACGTCAATCAAATATTGTTAAACGGCTGTATTTATCATGTGTTGCAATTAAAATTTCACAAATTAAAAAAAATTTATAATGAACAAAATGAAAATTCAATTTTTTAAATTTATGAATCTAAAAAACCAATAACAACAATAATTGTTGTTAAACTGTGAATATCTATAGAAAACATGGAAAACCAGTATGAAGAATGTAGAGATTTTTAAAGAACAACTGATTGAATAAAGCAAATTGATTGCAAAGTAGTGATGAATGTGACTGAATGAGATTGAATGCAAGGTAGTCATGTCAACAGAAGCATTCCAAAATAAGGATTTCAGTATTTGAAATTTGCTATTGTTGTTACAGATCATTCAAGTAGCGTTGTTAAATTCTTGTTGAGCCCGGCTAATGGAGCTGATTCAGCCCAGCTTGCGGTTACAAGCTGACAATTTTTTTCTAAACAGTAACAATAACAACAATAACAATAATAAGGCAATAGCAATAACTGTTACTAAGTTGTGAATGATCGCAGTTTTCAACAAATGATTACAGGCAAATATTTCGTTTTCATTAGCATGAACCAAATAAAATCGATCAAAAAAAACCCATTTTTTATGAAATAATCTTTTTCAGAATATTACTACTTAAAATTATTGGACGACCATCGGCTGGGTTCGGCTTGGCTTAGACCTTAAAGACGATTCTGTTTGGTTTAGCTTCTAGTTTTATCAGGTCTGCTCAACTTGAGCCTGAAGCCAAGCCAAGTTACTCAGTTAACAAGACTGAATTACAGCTCTGCACATCACGTTGAACTAAACAAATGACTTCACCCAGTTTCATAATTTTTTAAATTGATAGTTAGTTTTATAATAATAAAAATACTCTAATGACAATGCAGATTTTAATCTTAATGGTTATTTTTTGCTTTGTTTTTTGCCAACAGACGATGGCCATGATTAGTGCAAATAAAACAGCTTCAAGCCCCTTTTATGCAGTATCTATGACGCCGATGTATCTTTTAGAGAATTCGTGATATAAAGAATTTGTAAACTCCCAAAGAATCACACAAGTGACCAACACGGTTATAGTGATGACGACGACGATGATGATGACGACAAGATGATGACGTTTGTAATGGCGATATTTGAGGCTCCCGTAACAATGATAACAATAAGGTGAAGATGATAATGATGAAAAAATGATGATGATGATGACCATACAATGACGAATACGATAGATTTTTGATTGATAAACAAATTATTAATTTAATTATTCCAAAAGATTCAACAAACTGACCAAACGAAACTTCCAACATAAATTAAAGACCAGAAGACAACATGTGAAAACATATCTTTAATTATTATCGCATCAATGAAAAAACGTATTGATCAACACGCAGAACATTTAATGGAGGCCAACCTGAACAACGCTATTGCCATGCACTTAAATTTATTATTATTATTAAACAGCATTGTTTTACAAATTCTCAAGAGCTACAAAATTTTGTAACTAACCTTTGTCTTCAGTGAAGAAGTCTGGAGAAGTCTTCAGTAAGTTGCTAAGGCTGCCATTCTCACACATCTCCAGAACCAGGTATATGTAGAGCTCGTCCTCGAAAAAACTATACATCTATTTCAAGAATTGAGAAATTGATTTAAAAAATTAACAGATAATTATAATTAAGTATCAAAATATGAATCAAGCTATTCAAATAACTAAAACTGACGAAATTATTTAAAGTGACAGAATAAAAAGGATGAAGTAATGCAAAAACCTCAAGAATGAAAGGATGCTTGAGTCGAGAGTGAATGGAGATCTCGGTTCTCACCCTCCCCTGCAATGAATCCTTGTCAATCAAATTCTTCTTCTCTATCTACAATTTCAGTTGTTTGCCAGATAGAGCCAAGGTACAGAACAGAACAGAACAGAAACAAACAAACGAACAAACAAACAAACAAACAACAGAAGTACTTTGACGAGACCCACCATTTTAATGGCCACAACCTGCGAGGTCTTCTTGCACTTGGCTTTGTATACATTTGCAAAGCTGCCTCTCCCTAGCATGTTCTTCACTATGTAGTTCTGAATTTTAAAAACAAACCATCAACATGCTAGCAAGCATTCTCAATGAACATCACCATCCTTGTGAACTTGAAAATTTAGCTATTATTGCTATCAGTTTACTCTGTGGTTTCAATTGCAGTATCAGTATAACTCTGATGACCAACATCAAATTTGTAATTATTAGTAATGAAGTCGTTGTCACATTGTTATCGTAAAAAATGCATGTATGATTCAATGGATCCTTCTATAAGAGTGCAAACATCTGATGAAAAATTCGTTTGCATGCACGCTTGAATGTGTTTATTCTACATATTGTTCTGTAGAAAGAAAAGGTCAAACCAAATTTAAACTTCTATTTGACACAAAAACATTCCCAATCCAGAGCTACCTAAACTCTGTTTTTTTTTTGTACTAACAAGTATTTAAAATTTCTTGCAATAATTCCAAGCATGGAATTCACATTTTTTTAAAATGGTTAAAATTAAAAGACTTGGCATTGCTGCTGCAGAGAGGGACCCTGCTCATCAAATGCAATGCGTCTGATGCATTGATCGACATGTACTTACATGGGCTGTGACTTGGCTGTTAAAATCTCGGAGGAATACTAAAGAGAGAAGAATAAAAAAACTCAGAAAAGTAATTGTCTCGTATCTTGTTAATCAGCTAAAAAATTTGTCACATCTGTGTACTAGCAAACCGGTTAAATAAAGTTCATCAGCCTTGTCATCCATCATCTATGTCATCACATTCATAAACTTAAGCTGCCGCATCATTGGCAAATGTGTGAAAAAAAGCCTTACTGACTGCTTGTAAATAAATTATTCAATAAAAAATAGCACATTGTCTGCTCAGCCTTACAAATTAGCAGGTCAAGGTTAGTGGTTTGTTTAGTTACAAAACTCACGAAGCCTTCCTTGTATAAAAGAAATATATTACTTCAGAACCTGATAATTTACTACAATTAAGCCTGCAATACCAAGGGATCACTTTCTTCTCTAATATTTCTTACAAATCTAGTTTGTAAATATTAAATCTGAGATGTGCGTATGGATGATGAGTAGCCAGATTGTTGGGCTGCTTAGCTTATGTGTGAGACTCAATGAAAGAATCTATAATCAAAAAATTTTAGAAACCCTGAGACATTTTGATTTTGACCAGATAATAAATGGTAATTGTTTTTTCCATGTCGGTTTATGTATAGTAAAGGCAAGGCAATTTGATTTGAACTACTATCATCATTCGTTTAAGTTGAGCTGCTCTCTACCTACCCTACTATTTTCCAACTTTTGTGTCTGGCTAGTGCTAGCCTAGCTCTCATCTCCATCTAGACAGTCCAGCATCTAGTCTAGCTAGAGAGCCAGCAGCTAGATTATGAAAACAATTGCATATTACTTGGAAAAGCTAGCAAACATTTTGTTTTAAGATATAAAAAAGGAATAGTGAATTAAATTTTAAGTTTATATTCTTTATATTTTATAACATCATAATTAAATTAGTATTAATTGTCAGTGTCAGGGTTAGGAAATAATTGTTTTTATATGTTTTTGAATAAAAATGTTTTATACACAATATCATCTTAAAAATTTATAATAGTTATACAACATTGATTAACATTTAATAACATTTAATTAAGTTTTTAAGCCAGATATAAACAAAAATTTTAATAGTAAAAAAAAAATTAAGAACCCAATGAAGTGGAAAAAATCATTTTGTAAATTTTGAAAATTTACCTGAATGCAGTCTTTATCATTTTTTCTGTCCTTATTATTGTTTTTGTTTTTCTTTTTATCCATCCGCACAAATCTTTCACCAAATAGTCAGGGTTAAAAAATAATTTCATGGAGCTCACGTCTGGCCAGGTAATCCAATTTTCAAATATTGACGCCAATTATCATCCAACCACAACAAACACAGACACTCTATATATGGACAAACTAGTAGTTTTTAAATTCTAATTATTTATCTATGCTTTCATCATAATCTCACTATATTCCGTCCCAATTATAACATATAAAGAGAGCAATATGTTAATAAAAGCATTAAAATTAAAAAATTGTTTAGATGATAAAACCCTCAAAAAGTTCAAAAACATTATTACAATCATGGTGCGGTGCATTGAAGAATGATTCCGATAGCTTAATGGCACATATACGTGATATGCTAACGACCCATTAATAGCACATATGCTAACTATTCCTTATGCAGTAAACATTCTAGCAGCACATATGCTAATGGAAACAGGAATGGAACAAAATCTCAAATTTTTTAAAGTTAAGTACACCGACAGTAAATAACAAAATAATTTAAAATACTTATTTAAATCGCAATATGCAAACTAAAATCAATAGATTAAAAATAGGCCATTTGGTGGTCACCCATTCCTAAATCCTCAGAAAAACAAACCTTCCTTTTTGTGAAATTTGCAATCAAAATCAATCCACTCATCAATATACTAATAGAGTGCAAAAAATACATTGAGATTAGAAAAAAAACTTCCAAAATAAAAATCTGAAAGTTTTCATCTCATTTCTGAAGGAGATCGATATGTTAAGGGGCCATAAAGAATGTCGCGCTTCAAGGGGGTAGGGGGTCCAAATATTTGTGACAAGGGGGAGGGGGGTAAACGAAAGCGTGACGTCCCTTTTTTTAAATAAACAAAACAAAAAATAAATTTTCTTTCATATATATGCACAAAATGAATATTAAAGTTTTCAAGCGAGCAAGCGAGCTCATGAATGTTAATTAAATGTCAAATTTAAATGCCAACGCTAAAGTTTACCGCTGCGTAGGTGTTAACATTAATTAGGCCTAATAGTCAATATTAGTTAATATTAATTCGTTATATTTTAGCTACAGTAAATCATTTAGATATCAACCTATAGTCATATAAACTTGTCATTCGTTATTTTGATATTAATAAAAAATAAAATGCGTAGAACAATTACATTGTTTAAGGACTCTTCACTAAGAGGGGGGGGAGCGATAGTTTTGTGACATGCTTATTTTTGGGGGGTTGGTCGATTTGTGACGGTTTGTGACACGGGGGAGGGGGAAAAACGTTAAAAAAGCGTGACACCCTTTATGGATAGCCCCTAAACAAGATTTAAAGGGTTGAGGATCACCAGATACAAACAGTCACAGAACCAGCATCATGATGACCAAAGGGCATAAAGATATCTTCTTTATGCTAAAACGCCGTTGAACTGCAAAATACAACAAGCAAAATATGAACCATTAGCGTAATATACTAATTTATCAAACAATCTGCATTTTATGACGCACGGGCTTATGTATAAATTATTATATTCTATTCTATTAATCATATACTTAGAATATAAACAGACAGGATACAATTTTCAACACTTTCCACAGTCGGATGAAAAATATCCGATTCAGACCTCTTAAAAAATTCCGACTCCGGCAAAAACCTTGAATCCTGATTTTTCACTATCTATTCCTTTTACCACTATCATGATCATTTCGTTATCTGAATTTTAACGTAATAACATAATAACATTTAATATGTAATAACATTTAATATGTAATAACATTTTTTGTTTAAAATTCACTACGAACAATTAAACGACGCGTTGTAGCAAATATTTGACTTGACCCAATGCAACAATTGCCATAATATTTTTAACGTAAATACGAAACTATTTATTTTATCTAAATGTACATTTGGAAAACTTCGGCGGGCCAAACCGAACGGTGCTATGAATAACATTAGTCGTGTTCTTAATCGCCCCCCTGATTTACGAGACACCACTACCTTATTTGGTACTGGAAACATCAAAAACAACTTGTTAATATTTTTTTAATTTTTCAAATAAAACTAAGATAAATTGAAGAAATTTGAGGATATTCAATCCAGTCATCGGAATATTGAAAAAAGAGACACCAACATTTAATAAGCGGTCACAATCTATTACAATTACCGACAATCAATTAATCATGGTAATTGGTTAATTACTAATACAAACAGCACAAACTTAATCCCTTGAACAGCCAATCAAATAGCAAAGACATCAGCTGACCAAATCATACACAACCAGTCTAACAGTTCAAACATCAACTAATTATTTACGACCAACCAATCAAACAGTGACATTCAATCAGATGTTCAATCACTATCGGAGCTTTCACTCCCGAAAATTTCTTCCTTCTCCTTATTGTCATCCTCGTTTTCATCCTCGTCAACATCTCCAGCCTCACTGCCAGATGATGAGCTGGCGTTGCTCTCTTCTCCATCACGGTCTTGTTCTTGTTGCTGTCCGCTGTCCGGTCCATCATCTGCCATTTCATTGTTAGTTGATTTCTTCTCAACATCATCCTCGTCGTCGTCGTCATCAGCAGCAACATCACCATCGTCGTTTTCTTCATCACGATCCTCCTCTCCATCTTCATAAACTGGAGTGCCTGCAGCATCTTTGTCTGCGTCTGTTTGAGTGGTTGTGTGCCAGTGTATGTGTGACTTGTGCGTGTACGGTGTGTAAGTGGTGTGCCAGTGTGCGTGCTAGATTGCATAATCCACGATAAAGCAAAAAAAACCAGGATATAGAAATAAAGTAAAAGAAGTTGATGAGAGAGAAAGTTGGGACAAACCATAACTGTTATGTTGTTCATCCTGCCTGTTGAGTTTGTGATGGAATTCCATCTCTTCATCTTCATCCATCAGAGGTTCCAATATTGATGATCGAGCGTCCTGTTGTTTGTTAATTTAGATGCCGCGAGTTAAAGTTTGACTTCAGTTTTGACCATTTGAAAGACCGAAAGGCAAAATGTCAGCGTTTATAAACGGGTTTATAAATACTTCAAACATGAAAAACTTCATTTATTATTAATTTAATCATTTATTCATTTTTACAAGTACCGTTCATCAAAAAAAAAAACAAGAAAGGAATATCCTTGATGTTATTTATACCTCATTTTGTATCTTCTTGGCTCAGACACTTCATTCAAACGAAGGGACGAGCCCAGAAGAAGCAAAATGAGTGTAATAAAAAGTCATGTCACCAACATGCCTTGGTAACAACTGAAAACTGCAACAAAAACAAGAGCCACAACAAGCACGAACCTGTTCTGCAACTTCTTGAGAGGTGAGAGGACGATGTCTGACGACAAGTCTAGATTTTGGAACCGCCTGACTTGTCTGACCCACTTTCCTTCTTTTGCTCAATCTCACTCTGAAAAGTAAAAACGAAAAAATCATCAAAATCAACAACTTAAGCATTAAACATCTTGAATGAATAATCAACAGAAACATTATCAAAAAACTGCTGAAACCACCTTGTCTCCAGCTCATTATAGTACACTCCGGTATCTCGGAAGACGACAAAGTGGTTTTCGACGTAATCTTGCGATGATTTGTTTTTTACAGTCCAGTTGTACTCGCGAGCCAACGTGTACTCGTATCTGATGCATGGTTGGTTAGATAGTTGGTTGAAAATATTATGTTGATTAATAAGAGAAATATTGCGCACATGAACATTCACAGTTTGATGATGTACAACCACAACAAACACAACAATTGAGCAAAGTCAAATTACCATAAGTAATAACACACAAAAAAATTAACAAACATCTGCAACCCCAGAAACAACAACATCAACGAAATAGCAACCCGATGCAGCTGATAACTTACTCATCCTCCTCCTCATAATCGATGCCAGATTCCTGGTCCCTCTTCCGTTTGTTCATCGTTTCCGTTGTCGGCAGGAAGTAGGTAACGAACTGCTCGCCGCTGTGTTCAATGAATAGTCAACTTATTATTATTTAACAACGTCGATCACAACTTAGAGCCAAAAACAACGATAATTATTGTGGTATGATTGGTAGCATAAATTTAATATGCGCCAGTCTATGGATCTCTGGAACTGATGAAAATTCTTAAATTTATATTTCGTTTTTATATAAACAGAATCAAGCAAGCATGATCAGGCACAGCCGGTCCAATGTAAGCTGAAAGTTCAGCACATGTCATAAACGAAATAAGACGAAACACATTCACTTGGAATGAAGAACAACCGGAAAGACATTCACAGTGAGATACAAACAGACAGACAGGCAGACAGAACTACTAACCAGATGATCGCTTGAGACATCTCCTCCATCTGAGCGGCCACACTCTTTCCAACGGCGGCTGGGTCAGAATCGAAGATGACCTGAGCGAACGGATGCTTCCACATCTGAAAGGTTGGTCGGTAGTCTCATTAGAAAATTATTTAATCTTACATTCCTAATATCTTAGCATTCATTTATTAATGTAAAAAAAAGTAAATTTTAATGTAAAAATACCAATTCAATAGAACAAAAGTCAACATTAAACTGGAGAGATACTTCTCATCAATGTTTAATATTAGAGCACTAACTTTTATGTAAACAAATGAATGAATGAAGAATGAATGATTAATTGATTGAGTGAATGTGAAAAAAAAAGAAAAAAAACGGTGTGACCAATAAAAATATAAAGCTAAAAGTGAATAAAATAAATAAAATGATTGCTGACTTCGAAATCAGGGAGAAGTGGCAGAACTTCCACTGGAACAACATTTGGTTTGCTGTAGTGTTCGTGGATCTAAAATGTTATCATTCGAGTTAAATTAAACATCAACTTTTGCTATTTGAAGATAAGATGAAATCAATCAAAAACCAGAGGAACAACCAATATATCAAAAACTACAAAAACAAACAGGTTTCAGTGTAATACATCCAAACAACAACAACACAACAGACCAACAATAAGAAAAAAGAAACAAAAAAGAAAAAACAAAAAAAAACGAACGACAGACAATAGCAACAGCAACAGACAGACAGAGAGAAGCAACTCACAGGTTTGGATGCAGCATCGAAGGTGGCGTTGATGGCTTTTATCTGGCTGTCCCTGTCTTTGTAGAGAATCTCGTCTGTTATTTTCTTGTTGATGTTGAAGCCAACTCTGGGTAAGAATTCACGCAAAACGTATGTGTAATAAAATGGCGTTCGTTATAATCTAGTGTGACTGATATATGAATGATAACTTGAAATGACTAAAAATAGAAAGGAATCATTAAAAAAGATCAATTGAGATTGTTCTCTCAAGTACATACAACACCAACAAAAAACAAATTAAAATTAAAGTGTCAACCAATAACATTAGCCATAAAACACTCAAAAAAGTCACAAAGACTACGATATACAGAAAATGTACATTTCAAAATGTACTGTTCAAAAGTAACAGACGAACGGATAGCAACCTAGCTTCAGCTTTATTGTCCTTTTGAACAAATCTGTTGTACTCTGTTGAGATGTATTCGGTCTTTCTCAACCAAGAGACACTTTTTCGGTGGCTTAGAGACCTACGAACAATTTATAAATTTCTATTAAATAGCAACGTGTTTTTATATTAAAAAAGATAGATAGATAGATAGATAGATAGATAGATAGATAGATAGATAGATAGATAGATAGAAAGATAGATAGATAGATGATAGATAGATAGTTAGACAGACAAACAGACAGACAAACAGACAGACAGACAGACAGACAGACAGACAGACAGACAGACAGACAGACAGACAGACAGACAGACAGATAGATAGATAGATAGATAGATAGATAGATAGATAGAGAGATAGTTAGACAGACAGACAGACAGACAGACAGACCTATAGATAGATAGATAGATAGATAGATAGATAGATAGATAGATAAATAGATAAAATTAAAGTTGGGTAACCTTTTAGAATCAGTTGGTGCATTGGACTCATCTTCTATCAACGGCTCATCACTTGGTGATATTTTTACTGAGGACACAAACATGTTAAAAGTAAGAAAATTGATTAAGAATGAAAGCTAATATCTACGTAACATTTTTTAAAAAATTGCAGATATGATAGAAACGAAGGAAGAAGAAAGGATGATGAGATAGAGAAATCATTTAGTCGAATGTTGTGTTCTAAAATGTAGAGCAATTTGTAACTCGGTGCTGACTCACAAGACAATCCTTGCTATCAAGTAAATAAGAATAGTCTAATTAAATATTTATCAACATAAATAATTGTAGGAGTGAATAAAATGAGATTAGCAGAAAGATGAGAGAAGATGGACGAGCGTTGTCTATCAATAAAAAGCATAAAAGGCGGCATTAATTAATAAAATGTAAGACAATACGAACCATTTGGATTGATCTGATAAGCGTCGGCATTTATGAGGTCGATGCTGACTCCCAAGTCATGCTCAGTCAACAAATCAAACTTGTAGTTCCTCTCCAGTGAGGTCTGATTGTACTGCACGTACCTGACAGTGGTGCCAAATATTAGTGGCTATTATTGTTGGTATAATAGAAGGCGTAATAATTGTTGATGATTTCGATGACAGAGATTGTATCTATTATGTTGATGATTGATATCAAAATGCAAAAAAATCTTGAACCTCGATGTATCAAATGGGTAGGTGATAGACTTCGGATCAAATGGGATGTCTGGCAAGGTGTTGTTGTATTTAACACGAGACACCAGCTCTGACCTGAGATCATTAAAGAAATTATGAATGTCATGCGGCCGAAAGATGTTGAGGCAAGTTGGGAGGATGTTTTTAACAAAACTCGATTTTTGCTAAGAAACGAGTTTGGACAAAAACTTGTCTTATTAGCATAAATATGCCTCCTCCGCAATACACTAAAATTGCCCTTTAAAATTATCGGAGATGCTTTTTATAATGCAAAGGATTATATTTTATTCTACACTACATAGGTCATGATGGCAAGTATTAAATGCAGACGTTCAACGCATGATATAATCACCTGTCGACTGTAGATTAAATCTTTCCTAAGTATGAATTTATCTGAGATCGCAAGGCAAAAAAATAACGTTCGTCTTAAATGTCAATTGCTAATAACACCTCGAGCGAATTTTCAATTAACTTCAAGAACGAAAAACTCAGTGACAAATTTCAAAGTAAACTTCAATTTCCTTACTATCAACAGAACAGACATTGACCTCTGTTCAAGAACAAAGAGTTTAGGATTTGTTTTCATTATCAATACATCTTAGCAAGCACGTGTCACAACAAATAAACATAAATGTTGCTTACAGCTGTGCAAAATGAGAACTATCAGAAAAAACCAAACTAGAAGACGTCACAGGTTTTGGTTTAGTTGTTCATTTATTTGAGAATGCTCTACAGTAAATCTCTTCCCTATGGCATACAAGGTGCATTAATTAACACTAAATAACTAATTAACTTTCAAAGGCAAGCAGCAAAAATTGTATCCAATGGCTGAAAATATGATCAAGCAAGTTTTATTTTGCAAAACTTAAATTGGCTATCACTTGAGAGAAGTATCCAATTTAAAATTGCATTTTCAAGTTCAAACTCACATTTGCAAAACTTACAGTATCTCAATGCTAATTTTCTCTAAAGCTGAAATTGTTAAAAATTACAAAATCTGCACTTCTTGGAGGTGAGAGATTTTGCAGGCCGATGATATGGAAATACCTTTCCAATCAATTGAGAAAACCGCAGCTTTCTTTTTTGAATTTTGCAAAGATCTAAAAACATTTTTTCAGGCAATAGTAAATTTTTGGTTTTTCTGAATTTAAGTTTTTTAAATTTGGCATCAACTTGTGTACATTTATTTTTCTCTTAAGATAGATTTTTTTTTCTAAACTGTTTAATAAATGTGTACTTTTTGTGCTTGTACTTTTGAGATCTTGAAAGAGTGCAATAAAAAGAAGCCATATAAATAAAAAAAATTACAAAAAATAAACATATTCATATATGCATTCAACTCTACCCTCTAAACCTAATTGTAGAATGATAGGAAAATTATATTTTACCCAGAGTGTCAGTATAGAAATTATGATGCAAAAATTGAAAATTTTTTTCAGTATGTTTTAAAACATAAAAATAAATTATTTTTACTAAAAAAAACAATTTTATTCACTGATTTAAAGTGTTTTTTAAAGTATTTTCTATTTAGTGGTAATAATTAGATGAAATCATGATGCAAAAGTTGAAAAATTTTTCCCGAATTATGAGTCCGGAGTCAGAAATTTTTACCCTGGAGTTGGAGTCAGAGTTGGATTTTGTTGAGAGGCCAGAGTCAGAGTTGGATATTTTTTATTTGTGCTTCAAATCAATAAATTTTTTCCATAAATAAATGACCAATTTATCCAATAGGGTGCCTGTTGAGCATGACGAGCTTAAATAACTTTGCCCATACGTACATAAGAAAAAAGATGCTAAATACGCATAAATATTATGCAAATGCATGAAATAAATCAATTAAAAAATAATTAAAATGAATAATATTTTAAAAAATGAATAAATACTTATTAATGAGCTATAACAATGTAAAAATTGTAAAATAGGATGAGTTTGATGAATAATTGTTCATGGAAACTAAAGAGTAAGACCAGATCTAAAAATGTGTGAGGGTGCATTTGAGGGCCAGTATGGGTATAGTAAGTATATGAATTTATTAAAGTAAACTTATTAATTAATTAAAAGATTAAACCAGTAAAGTCTTAACACCCCATGCGTGCTTTGTTATTCATGAGATTTCTATGTTCCAAACAAATATTCATGAACCTAATAATACTAAATAATATATGGCACCAAACTATTTTTGGTTTGCATAGAAAAAAAATAAAATGTATATATTTATGAAAAACTTTAATATAAATTTAAACCTACCTTTTCTCAGCTGGATTTCGATTGCGATCAGTATGTCGCGGAATGTTATGAATGGTTGGAGGCATGATGGCAACAAGTTCAGAGGCAATCTATCCGTTGAATGAGGGAATTAGCTGAGAGGCTTTATTATCTTAGCTGCAAATTAGATAATAAACAATAATTTTAAAATTTAAATTAAATACAAATACTAATTAGGTTTCAATGTTTACTGCATCTTATAAAGAGCTAATTGCAATATTTTGCATGGCTTTTTATGTTTTTTATTTATAAACTCTAACTAAATGATCTCATTAATTATTTTTTAAATTAAAATTAATTAAAAAAAACATAATAAATATAAAAATCCAACAAATTTTTGCACTTTATTTTAAGGATTATTTATCTTTAAGTAATATTATAAGAGTTTAAAATTAGTAGCAGACAACAATCAGCAGGAATCACATTAAGATTAAAAAATAAAAATCTTTTAACTTGCTCATCGTTATTGCTTTTTCTGATAAATTTGATTTTGTCATAACTTTTCTACAATACAATAAATGACATTTATTTTCTTTACTTACACACTGTGTATCTTTCTATCTACCCTACTACTAATAATTAATATTATATTGTAGTAATCTAATTAAAAACACAATTATAAATAATAATAATTGCATTAATACTAAAAATTACTACCAAATTTAAAATTAGAAACAATGTTTCTGAAACATATAAATAATTATTATAATTCTGTATTGAGAAAAAAAGAAACATTGAAGAAATTAATTATTAATAATTATTAATCAGTCAATCAGTGAAGTCCTAGCCAGTGACGCTTACTAACAATCCCCCACCTACACTAACCGAGACTGTAATAATTATAAATTATTCAATATTTATCATTACTCACCTCAATTAACTCCGTCCGTACTTTTATTTTATTTTAAATAATCAATTATTTATTATTATTAAGCCGTTTGTTTATGAACGATAATAGGTCGGGGACATTCCTCACCACATATAGATATACAGTTTATACACACATATATACTTCATATACTATACTCTTATGTTATATATACACACATATATAATATTTATATACTACAAATATGTTTATATATTTATATTAATAAATATATATATAGGTGTGTAAAACGTAAGTAAAAAAAAGTTTAATTAAGTTAAAAAGGTCGAAATTAATTAAGCCTTTAGTTTTTATAACTCCATTTAAGCAGACTTGTTGTCTATATATATATATATATATATATATATATATATATATATATATATATATATATATATATATATATATATATATGTTGCGTAATAGACCATAATTTTTACAATATTCTATAAATTCTAGCGAGTGTGTGGCGTTATAAGAGACCAAAGAAGATGACCAGCCAATTAAGAAACC